GACGACGTTCCCTCCGGCCTCCTCGGCTTCTCACTACAATTTCTCCGAGCTGGCCACTGCCCCTGGCCCCAGCCTGTACACCTACCCGGCCTCCACCGCCCTCTCCTCAGCTTCTCAGGCCATGGAGCAGCTGCTGGGCCGTGGTCACGGCAGCCACGGTCCCTCCCCGTCCGCCTATGCAGCAACATACACCTCATCCTCCTCTAGGAGGGACTCAGCCAATCGTAAGGATTCTGTCAGTAGTCTGCTGCACGGCCTCCCCGCAGCCTACCAGCATCAGTTTGCCACCGGTTCTCCCTACGTCAGTGTGACACCCCGGGCTGAGGCTTACAGTGCCTACCAGCTGAGTCCAAGGCGCCTCACACAGTACCCCTACCTATAGGGAGTCACGTGCACACACAAATCTCATTCCCCACATACTATCACAAAGGGACATTTTTAACTGTATCTCTGATAGAACTGTTGATCACTTATTTGTTTGCTGCTTTTGAATCCAAGGCAGCATTTCAACTCTAACTCATCTACATGCTGTTTTGGACAGTTTGTGTTTTTTAAAACATTGTTTGATATCGTATCAGTTTTTTTTCCCCCTTAAAAATATTGTTTATAGCCCATATTTTATCCCTGTCTTAATCCAGATGTACAATTAAGGCATTGTGTTAATGTATTTTACTCCTGTTTTATCCTGAGGTTTTGTGTGAAGAGAGATTATGCTCCTGTCACAAACTGCGGTGACACTTTAGGCGAGCTTTTAGACGCCTGACTCACAAGGCTGGTGAAGGGCTCGCTGACAACAGAGTTACAAGTCAATTTGTTTTTCATGAGCCTTGTTCTAAAGTTTTTACACTAATCTAGTGAGGCCCTGTGTTTTTAGCTGACATAATAATGACTGTACCAATGTCTGTTTACTCACAAGTATGTCTTTTACTATGTTTAAATTATGTTCTGTTAGTGTGAGGTAGGAAGAGAGAGGTTCATGAAGATGTCGAATAAGGGAAAGATGTGATGAAAACTGTGATGGATACATGTTAATTTAAGTGCACATGTGATAGTCTGTTAGTGACTAGGCTGGATTAATCATGTCCTTATGCAATAGAAACCTGTTTTAACTGAGTGCTGAATGTATTAATGAAGTGGGAACACCATCCTAAGGAATGACGTGAAAAGCTTTTGTTTTTAAATTGTGTTAAAAAAAAAAAGAGTAATTAATTAACTTCCTTACTTTCTCTTTTTAAAATATATTTTAAAAAATCCAGTTTCACATGGACCGAAAAAAATAATCTCTATCTGTGAATCCTGGTTGTGTTGGACCTGCTCATTAATAAAATGGATTTAAGGCCAGTTATTACTGTTTTATATTGAGGAAAAGAAGGAAGGAGGGGGGAAGAAAAAAAACAATTTTCTATTTTCTCCCTTAATACTTGTTAGGAAGTTTTATCAAACTACCCACACTGCTGTACAATGACTGATGCAATCTGTTAGCAAATTGGCTTTCAGGTCAGTTACTTAATGTCTCACTTTAGCATTTATGTCTCACATTAAGTCAGTCACAGGTTTTGCTGTCCACTAAACTCACACCGCTTATTCTCCTGCTGAAAATGTGCGAAAGTGGCCATTTTGGCTTAAGTCCTGTCTGAATATATGTTGACATTCATTGTTTTTACATAGATTACTACAGTGTGGACACAACAGTCACACATTTGGGTCTTGACTGAAGACGGACTTACAGCTGTTCAGCAGCTTTTCCTGCCTCCATCTTTATTTAAAGGAGGTGAATCTGTGGGTTATGAAAGCTTTTTAGTAACTCCTTCCTTGTTGTGTTTGCATATGTTTTGTGTTGTAATGTCTGAGTATTTAACTATTTCATCTTAACATAGTATAGTTAAGAGGCTATTCGGTAGAACTAATTCAGGGAAAAAAGGTTTCAGCTCAAATAATCCACTGTCACTGTTTTCAATAAAATAACCACAAATTCATAATGTGTTTCATTATTTCTCACCCGAATTCTGACATTTAAATAATGTCTAACATTATTATTTTTTTACTTTTATTGTCCTCCAAACTGCGGAGAGTCATTGTGTAACTCTGTCTCAAAGATTATTGCTGTGATCACTAACTCACAGGTGTGGTCTATCAATATCAGGTGGTATTTTGCACAAATGTAGAATGACTGCTGTATAATTTTACTTTAAACATAAGTGGCATATTATTACTTTTGACCCTGTCAGCTGGGACAAAAGTAACACAACAATACAAGCTAGATTTTTCGTGTTACCACCCTTGTATTTAATAAATAAACATGACTGTGACCTTGTTAATTTGTAACTGCAAACATCTTTTGTCCTTTATCATAATTTTTTTTTTTTTTAAATTACATTTTTATTTTAAATATTCAGTTTCAAAAGTAACCTGATGGCCCAAACTTGAATTGTTTAGAATATTTCATATTATATTAAGGATAAATTATAAATATATAATATAAATATGCAAATGTGTGCACGTACAACAGGGGGAAATGGTAAGATGGACATTGGAAAAAACAATGTAGAAAGATATGGATTAAATGTAAATAAAAATAAGGTAAAAACGAATAAGCTATTAAGAGCAAATACAAATTTGACATTTCATAATGACTTTAAAATTGTTTTAGTAAGAGCAGTGTGAGTGAGCTGCATGTTGAGTGTTTTTTAACAACTGTAGCTTACTGACCTCCTTAGGCGACATGCCAAAAATAAATATCAGCTGCCCTCTTGATGTAAGCCTGCAGCTTCTTCTCTTGGTCCACAGAGAAGACTCTAGAATATGATCTGTACCCTGGCGGTCTGGTCTTCTCCCTACTGGTCTCTGCCCTCCTCCTGCAGTACCTGAGCAAAGTGACATGGCATATGCCATGCGACTTAGCAGCTGCCCTGAGACTGATGTTTCTGACAGAGATGTCCAGAAACGCCGTCTCACATACATCGTGCAGAATCAGACCTCTGTCTGTCTTTCTGACCTTCACTCTTGGCATATTCTGTTGGTATAATATAACATAAACATGTTTCAATACATGCTGCAACGCAGAGAAAGTCACCACATTAGCAGCGGGACAAAATAAACACTTGTGGTCAGGTGTATCGGGACAAAAGTAACAAGTGTTAGGCCTACTTTAGTCCCGACTGGAACTCCTGAGATATAAACACGATTTATTTTTATATTTAAATTTATATTTTTAATTAAACATTACTGTGACACATGAAACGAGTGACACAACTTGTAATTCGAAGAACAGTCCCGCTTCAGAAATTTATTTACCGTGCTCGAAAACAGTTTTCCAGAGACTACCGCGGGAAACGATGACGAAATCACCTGATATTTGACAGCTTTATCAAGGGTTGCATGCTGAAGGTGCTCTCACAGCTTGGACTGCAAGTGCAATCAGGGCTCTGAGAAAATCGCCTTGTTACTTTCGTCCCGTGTTACTTTCGCCCGGTTTACCCCTACATTAACTTAGCAAGTAGTAGTATTGTCTCTGAGTAAGCAGACAAATTTATAGAGAACCCTGTGTGGGAGGACTTTAAAGTCAAAGCTTTATACATAAAGTAATGTCAGTCATGCTGAATCATATAGGCCTAATGTTGGTAAACATTAAACACACTACCTACTTATAAAAAGATCAGCCTTTATTGATTCCCCAGACGAGAAATCAAGTTTTCCAGCAGCACAAAGACAGAGAGAAGTACAAATAATAGTTAAAAGTAAAGTTAAATATATAAAGTAAATAAAATAAAATAAAAAAGAAACTGTACAAGAGCGTTTAAACTCAATATTACAAGACCAATAATATACAAACTACCCACGACTAGTGAGTAGCAGCGACGTTAGCAAAATATAAAACATGTAAGAGTAATATGATACTGTCAGCTAAAACAGTGTACAGTGTATTATATACTAGGATTATGTAATTAACTTAGTTATTAATACATTTTATTATTGAGATATGATGTAGTACATTATGCAGTAAACAAATATGTAAATAAATACATATATAATGTTATCATCAATACACACATTATTATAACATAGTATGATATAGTGCAGTAAGATAGAGTAGGCCTACAGGATATAAGTATAATTTAAGGTGAAATGTAATGATATAGCACAGAATAAAAGGCAATAGAATAAACAAAAGATATGCATAATATAGTCAGTGGTGGAAGAAGTATTCAGATCCTTTACTTATCTAAAAGTCCTAATTGCCCACTGTGAAAATACTCCACTACAAGTAAAAGTCTGATGGCAGGCTGATGGCAGTGGAAGAAGTAGTAGCCTATATTTAATGTAGACATGGCACATAGTGAAATGAGATTTTTTTTTAAATATCTAAACTAATATAAATACACTAAAGCCTGGGTTTAAAAAAATAATTTTCAGCTTATGTTAAGTTTCCTTATAAGGTTTACTTTGAATAAATAATTTAAAAATATGTAATAACAGTTTGGGGAGATGCACTTGTGAAAAATCATAAAAACAAGGAAAAGTCCAACATTACATGAGGAGAAGCTGAAACATTTAGTAATTGTGAGAAAATAATGTTAATTGAGCATAAAATATATCTAACACATCTATTTCACATTTGCCAATTTATATTTAAAGACCATATTTATTTAAGAAATGCAGGAATGTAAGATAATGAAATAATGCCATAGGGGGAAAAAAAAGACTCTTTGGAATTTTAAATTTGAATGATTGAAGATATATCTTGCACAGTTTTCATCATATTTAATGCAAGAAATTCAACATATTTATGGTACAAATGGTGCATTTTTTTAAATTGTTAAATAATAACAGGCATTTTTGCTTTTTTCACTATTATCTTCCTTTTATGAATTGTGCTGATTTAAGATTCATGATTTCCATCTGACAGATTACATGAAGGAGAAAACATCTTAATACAAATGGTTTCTACTGTTTTCCCCACTGCAGCCAAGATCAATAAACACTGGACACCACTCTGGAGGTACTTTTGATCAACTTTTATTAAAATGCTGCCCATCTTTGCTGCTTGCACATTGTTCTTCATGTTCCACACAGTAATGCTTCACTTCACAGATAAGGTTCATTTAACAGACTTAACATGGGAATGTGCACAAATGTCTCAGTTAACAATCAAAAGTCATTTTTGTTTATGTTAAATAAATACATTTGAATAGACTGTGCTCAAGAGTTCAGAGAATGTTGAGGATAAGGATCCTTCAAGTTCAGTTCAGTACAGCGAAGGAAATACAGATCCTCAGATCCACATCAGAGCTGATTTTGTTGGATGGTATCAAAATGCAGCTGGGCAAAGTGACAAAAAGAGTGAGACTATATACACACACATGTATACATATTTTCAGAACAAGCTACAATTTACAATTAATCACAACATTATACCACTTAAATATGTGCTGTAAATGCTTTCCATTATCTCTTCATACTTGCGGGGTATTCACTTCAGCTTTTGCATTCTCTAGTTGATATTTTGCAGTTAGGCTACTCATATTATGGTAAAAACAACAATTTTAAAAAATATTCACAGATCAAGGCTTGCTGACTTTCATTCACTGCTGCCCTTTAAAACCGCTTTCAAGTTAAACATAAACACTAACTTTCAACACTCACTAAACTTCACACGCACAAAGCTGTTCGGGCCTTCACTTCTCAACGACACACAAAGCTGGGGCCCAAGACATGTCCATCCATTACATGCAACTATGTGATCATGCACAGCGCATGGAGTCTTGCACTGCCGCATTCATCAGGTCTGTCGAGCTCGAAAACGAGACGAGAAAGAGGAGCAGCCGCTGTCACTTCTTTGGCTGTTAAACTGTCAGCAGCGTTCCATCTCGTGTCCTTGCAGCAGCACGCAGCTGAACATTTTTTGAAATGTAGACATGAAACCATGTCTTGAATCAGGGCTGAAGAGGGACAAGAGAAAGAAAGAGATTTGTTTAGATTTGCAGAAATGATGGTGCTGACATTACACAGTGAATTGCTTTTACAGAATCTGTCAGGCTAAGATCGGTTTGGAAGGACACTTACAGTTGTGAATTGATGAGTTGGGTCTTTGCGTAATTCCAACTCCTCACCGAGTCGTTCCTCCTCCTCGGCTCTTCTGTAATCTGGTCCCAGATATCCGTGTTGACCCATAGGGACCCGGGCAGGGTCAGGCTGGATCGTGTGCAGGTAATCCAACGGCACAGAGGGCAGGAGACGGTGTGGATGCCGCCGTCCAGCTTGGCCATTTTCTCCAAGCAGGGGGCGCAGAAGGTGTGGTTGCAGTGGAGGACCCGGGGGATCCGGTCGCTGCGTGAGTACTCGTTGCAGCACACGACACACTCGAGCTCATCATTTATGAACATGGTGACTGAGCAATGTAGATGTAGAGGGTGTCGGACAGACTGGAAGCAGAGTGTTTCCCTTAACCAGAGGCAACCTGTAGAACACAACGAGACAAATTAGAAGTCAGTATCAAGTAGGACTACAGCTCATCAAATACTCATTATTACTACAATACAAAAGCATCTAGCAGCCATTTTAGAGCAGTACTTACTTTCAAGATTGATTGAGTCCCCTGCGTTACAACTTAAGCTAAAGTTTCTGCTGAACTGGTTGAGGTTTTCTGTGGCTGTTGTTCTTATGTTGGGCTCTTTTAAAAACAACTCCCTGCAGACGTGACCAATCCTGACACAGGAGGACTCCGACATTTCCAAGGAAGCGCTGCCTTCAGGTAAACAGTGTTCTGTGGAACTGCGCGCAGGAAACAAGATGATCGTTGACGTGCACAGAGCTTCCATAGCCTCTTTTATAATATAATCAAAAGATTATAGCCTTGGTAAACAATCTCAATTTGATTTATATGACATTTTTATTTGGAGCAAAAGAAATCGTTGACCTCAATGTTTAAAAACTGGCAGAACGTTTATGGGCATTTTAAAGTACGATTTTTCACAGAAGCAGATAAAAGGAAAGTAAAATGCCCTGCCAAGCAGGGTAATTTATTTGCATTTACTATGAAAACATACAATGTCACACAAGAATAACTGAAGCATGGAAATTTGGGCATTTGCTGTATAATCACACAATCGCACTCCCATCATCAGCAGTATGTTTTTTCTTTTTTTTTTTTTTTTAAAGATGGTGCCAAGAAAGAACAAAAAGGCAAATCTTCTGCTTTCAGACCATTGTTCTGTTGAAACATTAGATACACAGTAGAACCATCTTTACTAAATGCAATGCACAACAGTAAATTATCAGCAATTATGTGAACCCGGGGCCATGGCCTGTCATCCTGTTTGCCTGCACTGCCCTGCTTTGCAAACAATAGACGTTTTCCTTACTAGCCCAGTCTGTTTCTATAAATAAAGAGAACGAAACACAAGAAAAAAAATGGTCAAAAATAATATACAGAAACAAAATGTTGGTTCTCTTCACGTGTCTCCATACTTGGACCTATATAGAGTGGCGCTATACTGGTCAGCTAAGCCAATTTTTAAAAAAGGTACTGGTCTCTAATTACTTCTGTGCAGACACTGGGTTCACTGCTTGGCTCATGGGTTGACAGTTGAGAACAGACCCTGTATCAGTAGCTCTTCACAGACCGCCAGAACAGGTTTGTGTTTTTATGCTTTTTATCAACATGGATATATAAAAAAGAGAAGTACTTCTCAGTACTCTGTTGTAAGACTACTTTATGCATCAGGGGTAAGCTATGGTGCAGAAAATAGACCCTATGACACACATAACAAGTACTGACAAGTGTGCGAGTTTCTATTTGCATCACATTGTTTCATACTGTTTTTGGAACCTGTATTAGGTTTCGCTTTTTTTTTGTTGTTGTTGCATATATTGGTTTTCTTTTTTGTTTACCTGTAGTTTCCTCTTTTGACATTTTTCACTGATTACTTTACTGACCTTTCAAGTTCAGAAATCAGATCATAAATATTCCTGTGCTCCCATTTCCTGCTCAACATGATCTAAGACAGTTCCCATGAACTTCAATTTGTTCCAAATTACCTGTGGCATTATGAAACCTCAAACAGTGTAGGCATGCCAATCTTTCAAAAGTGACTACATTTTCTCGAGTAATAGACGAGTTGCATGGTCTATAAAATGGTGCAAAATGTTGATCTGTGTTCCCCAAAGCCTGAGATGACATGTCCTTGTTTTGGCCACGACTCAAAAGGTACTTAGTTTACTGTCAAAGAGGAATAAAGAAACCACAAAATATTTGCATTTAAGAAGGTGAAATCAGAGAATTTAGACTCCCCCGCTTAAAAATGACTAAAACTGATTATCAAAATAGTTGGCGATTAATTTAGCAGTTGACAACTGACTGAGGAATCATTGCAGCTCTACTAAGCTATACAGCGATCATCTGAGTCTGTGGTCTTTCATCTGGAAATCATTACTTTCTTAGGAAAACAACTGACAGCTGTAGAGAACTGCAGCCTCAGGTTATTAAACTGGATGTGTTGGTGCTCTTCAACAGAAATGCATAAATAGGAAGAGTGACTCCCAATACCAAAAAAAGGTTGTTCGGATCAAGACACTTCAAATGAACGATGTTGATTATGAGAAACACACGACAGGCCTTTGTGCTTCTCCTTTTTGACTATGAAAATGTTTGGAGCTGCAATGACATCAAGTCACAGCCTGAGGAGTCTCTAATGATCTGATGAGCAACCAGGTAACACTGCAGAGGAAATACCTGCTGCGCATGTGACCCGGTCAGAGCTTTGAGAATGACCTACTAGTGTCAGAAAGAAGCTTTTATCAGTAATGTTCGTGATGAGTGCAGGAGAACAAGGATGCGTTTAAGGTCCCCTCAGTAAAGCATATTTGTGTGGTTGCCTCCAGCATGGTGCAACAAACTATGACCTGTTTGCATGTCCTAAGCTCTACACTCTTCCACAACCCATGAGCCAAGTTTGTTCCTACTGTAGACATAAACCACTGAAGCACAGAGTGGATCACAACCGTTTTAATAAGCCCCTCCAATCCCCCGGCCCTACTGCCACTCCCGTCCACTCCCCCACCTCCCCCTCTTCTCTATCCTCCCTGGGTGGGTCGGCTTTGAGTTTCCGTCTTCCAAAGTCCATGGTGGTGGTGGTTGTGGTGGTGGTGGTCGTGGAGGGGTTTAAACCCAGGACTGAACATCCCTCCCCCACGTAGTGTGTTTGTAGAATGTGGAGTCCACAAGTTGGCTCACCTGCAGGGGGGAGCACCACCCTACAACACCAGCTCCTCTCACTCCTGGGCTATGCTCCTCAGCACGTACTTGACTGTATAGGCGAACGCTGCAAAGCCTACAATCACAAACAGGTTGGCTAGAGCACCACCTAGAAGTCCATGGTTGCGATTGGCCTGTTGCAGGCCGGGGGCGGGGTTGGCGCCACCGAGCGGGACGGGCCCTCCGTTGAGGGCAGGGAGGCCGTAGTGGGCCTGCTGAGGGTCCCCATCAGGCACCACATCGGGTAAGGGGAGAGGCTGAGTGCGGGCGCTTAACTCCTCCTGGGCCTTCTGTTTCTGCTTCATTTCCTGGTGGAGGGAAGGAAAGAAACAGGAGGATATTAGGCCGCCAAAAAAGAAAGAAGAGGGAAGACGACAAGAAGTTAGAGATCACCTCACACGTACATCGACTACATCAGGAAACAGCTCACAGAACACTTTATCCTTGAGGTTGAAGGCCAGGCTTTGGGCTGACAGCTGTCTTTTCTGGAAAATAAAAAATAAAATGCAAATAATTAAATTTTTACGACATTGAAAGGTCATTTATCACCGCGTGCTGCTTTGACAGTCATATGTTTGTACTCACTGTGTAGTCTGAGGTCTCAATGCTGCCAAGGGTGGGGCCTTTCTCCACCATGAAGCTGAGCAGACCTGTGAGGATGGTGGAGACAGACCACGCAGGGTTCCACGTGTCTGGATGGAAGTCTGTGATGGACAAACATAACCTGTGGAGGGAAAACAGGCAAAGTTACAGACAAGTTCTAAAACAATGACCAAGTCATTTTTTAAAAACTCTTAAAATCCTTAATTCTCATTTAATTCACCAAAAGGAAAGGGCATTCTTACCTTGTATTACACTTAAATCTCCCATTTGGTGTTATCATATAGATGCTTGGTGGTTTAAAAGGAAATTCCCGGGGAAATACGAGTTTTCCATGATAATATCCCCCTAAGACAAAACATATTGTGAGATTCTGGGCAAGACAACATGACTCATGGTTACAGATCACGTCTCTGATTTCATTTGCAAAACTGCAGAAATCAGCAGGAATCAACATGCTCAAAATACATTAAAAGAAGCAGCTGATGCTGAGGAGTAGGTGTCGGTTAAGTGTTTACCTTCATATGGAGTTTTCTCAGGACCTCTGACTACATAGTGCCTGAAGAAGACAGAGAAGATTTCCTAAATTTTAGCAACATCATTACAAACAAAACACGTTTGGTTAAACCTCCGTCCTTAGACCTGCATTAACGTGCTAGCAATAGCCCAGAATCAGACTCTGCTGCATGTTTCCTTTAATTCTTTTTTCTTTTCCATAGTCATTTATTTTCAGGAGCACCCTGGTCTTGTGGTTAAGATGCATATCATACAACAGAAAACATCCCCGGGACCTCGAGTATTATATTTTATATATTATTTATATTTTTTATATTTTCAGATCACAAGAAGTCTATCTGCAGTCGATCTGTGATGCACGGACCGAGATGAAAGATTTTTGAATTCTCTGCTCTAGCCAAATAAAGGTTCTAACTGTCTTCACCAGGTTTACCTTGTTAAATAAAAACAGACAGCACACACTGGCAATGAAACAAACTTATTTGGTTCCTTGCCTGCGCATGTCTGGTAAGGCCAAGATAAAAGTACACCTACAACTAACCCCCCATCCAGAGTACAAGGACAGAAAATACCTGAACACGACCATGAGAAATTATTGGGGGAGATACATATTTAGAATAATATGCCTGATATGTTATATTTAATTAATATAACCCCCCCCACACACACACAAGAAATGCCATGACCTGTAGTGTCGCATAATCCGTTGCAAATATTCCACTGAGGGCATGTTGAAGCATGTGAACAAATCACATCAGCGAACCAGGAAGAAAGGACAAATGACTCATCTTGGCAGTGGCACACTTACAATCACATGCAATGCGGACGTCATAATATTAATAAAAGACATGGATACTCTGGAATAATAAAATGATTTTACCTGGAAGAGGAAATATTAAAAATACAGCCCCAACACACCACCTCTAGTGGTGTCTGGCCATGCAGTTTTAGCCACCAAAATTTCACTCGTGGTTACTTTTAAAAATGTCAACACCCACGTCCGTCTTTCCAGAAACAATGTCCCATTACCTCTGGATGATCTGAAAGCACCCGGTCTAGCATCAAGTCCACAGAGCGGAGACCAAACAAGGTAACAGTAACAGCAACTTTTGGCATTTAACTGAAATCATGACTATTGAGTTGAAGGCTAGCAAAAGTAAGCTACAATTCTCAAATGTAATTGTATACAAGTGCATTTGTTGTTATTGTTCTCCGTCTGGTTGGGCCGTAAGTTTGTGTTGTAACGTCATAGTCATGACTTACACAGCTGATTACGGTTCAGACGGTGTGGGCGCCAAGCAAAAGTACATCTTAAACGATTAGTTTGAAGTTTTCTCTAATATATATTGTGATATGAAAAAATACAGGAATTGACGTCAGTTGCTCTATGTAAAAATAATTAGGCATCCTAGAATTATTGTGGTGATTTGGTAGGTGAAAATGCATAGAAACAAAAAATAAATCAGCTGAAAAATGTCTTTTTAGTGTGAATACTTTTTTGAGTGCAAACTGCAACAAACCAAGAACCCTTAAATCGGAATCCGTGTATGGTTCGTTCTTTGATTATTTCGTTTCAAAACCAAATCAGCAAAAATGGATAAACAGAAAACAAAAAACAGATACCGGTTTTTGTTTTTCTGTTTTAAAACCAAAACAGAAAAATACTGATTTTGATATTTAATGAGTCAGATTTGTTTAACTTTGTGTGTTATACTTGATAAACCTAGCAGCAGATACATTTGGGCGATGGCGGTGCCTGATTAAATGTAATTAAGATAAGCTTGAACATCAACATAAGTGGGTTTTTAGTTGGAAAAACAGGACAATATTATATAGCTGCAGTACCGGAGGCTGCTACTGGCTCAACGTTCAGTTTGTAATTCACTAGCAACTGGAACAGGAACGCTTTCCTGAGAATTTTAAGATTTCTTCAGTTTAAAATTAATTCACTGATAGTTGTCAATACATCCAGCGGTACACAGCAAACATGAACTGTTATTAGTTAATTTGGCAAGCTGTATATTAACGAATCATACACAGATTAAAAGGTTCGGGTAATTTTTGTTCAGCGTCTCTCGGCTACACTGTTTCGTCCTGACCTTTATTTTCGGAGATGGAAGAACTTAGAAAGTTGCGCACCGCTGCGGAGAACCTCCCGCTGTAGGAACACATGGATTAGGAGCGTCGGACATCATCCAGCCAGAGGGAACGACCACTGACCGTCCAGCGCGGTGTTTGTATTGGCAAAACAACTCATAGGTCTACCGCCGGAGAGGGAGCGGGCGCTGGAGCGTACAGGGCGAGAGAGAGGAGGTCGCAGGAGCGACCTGGTATGCTGCGGACAGTCGGCGATCCCTCTGGCTGGATGAAGCCCGCTACTGATTTACACATGATCCATGATGATAGGCTACAGAAAATTTGAAATGAATGGCAAAAATAGCATATTGTCGGTATTTTAAAGACCCCCCAAAATATTACAAATCATGTTTTCAGGGGAGCTCATGTCTTATTAAGAGGTGTAAAGCTCCCCTGGCTCCCCCCGTAGTTCGCACCCTGCCCGTAACCTTGAGAAAAAACCCTTGATAAACATATTTGGGTATTCTTAGATCGCTCAGGTAACCAGCTGCTTCAGGTCAGCCCAAAACAAAATGCTTCCTTGATGGTGATGTACTTAATCTAGAAATTGGAGAATTGGAGTGCTTGAGTGGCTCCTCCAGCGTGACGCAATCTTGCAAAACAAGTATATTCTCATATTTCTTTTTTCGTATGTGGCTATAATAGGCCTATACTGCTCACTTCTACAATCATACAATCGCCATAGTTGATATGAGATACGACTTAAGAAATAGCTTTAGCCAATAGGCTATAAAATAAAATAAATTGCTTAAATATGTAATGTTGACTTTTTGTTTCACATTGTATATGACACCGTTCTGCGGGTTCTGGCCCTCCATTCACCCCAACCATGTTCTTACTCGGTCTTTTCTGTTAAATATCATATACCTGCCTTTACCGTCACAGAGAGATGCTACAGGGCTTCCCCCACTGCGTTGACCTACGACGCTATAACAATCCCCAGTGCATTACAAACAGACCCCAATAGGCCTCGACCACGCCATATGTGACGAGTCCGGGAGAGAGAACAGGTTTTAGGGATACAACACCAGTCAAAGATAGAACAAAATGCAGCTCCTTTGTTTTCAGTAATGGGTTTAAAACAGAAAAGTTTTTTAGTAAGTCTGTGTTTTGGTTTTCCGTTTTGGTTTTGAAACAAAATAATGAAAGAACGAACCATACATGGATTAATCTGAGTAAATGATGTTACATCATACAAACTTCTCTTGTAGATTTAGTCATGGAAAATGAGAACCTTGAATTTTCCTTTTGTATCAACAGCAAAAAAGTCCAGGTGGTTGAGTTAATTTGACTTCCTTGACATTGCATTGTTCTGCGATGAAACTATTGTACAAGTGCACATTGCAATAACAATGCTCCAACGATATATTGTGCTGTCACCACTAAACCTGGAAAGACATGTTACTGTTGAATTGTTTTATGCAACTGCTCAATGCTGTGGACACAGCTCATAGTCTGAAACAGTCATCTTGAAACCTGGGAAAATAAACTGAAACCTAAGGTAACTTGCGTAAAGCACCCATTTAAAAAGGAGCCTTTAGTATCCAGTATTTTAGCAAAGACAAATATGCAGAAAAAATATATATCATTTATTTTTTTCCTTTATATCATTTTCCTATTCCTCATTTAAATCATCTTAGGACCCTCAGGTTTATCTTGGAAGCCCATAGGTTCACTGTAGTTTAATCTCATCCTGAACAAAAAAGAAGAAGCTGTTTGTTGCATTGCAAACACTTTTGTTTTGTTAACTTAAATGTATGTTTTTATAAGAATTTAACCTGTTTTTTAGTATTCAAAAGGAGAAAAAAAGAGACATAGTGACTATTTAACAAAAGTGTCAAAACTATTGGATGTTTAAACTGTGCTGATCACATAAAAAGAGTCAGAGTTAGAGCACTGAAATGCAACATAGCCTTGGTGATGATTTTTGGCTGGGTGCCTTGCAAGGATGGAGATCTTACCATTCCAGGATGTTGGAGGGGAGAGGTTCTGCACAGATGTAAGGCACAGGGTCTTTCTTTATCCTGAGGTAATCCTGCTTCAGGCGCTGAGTGGCTGTAGTTGGAGCTCTCTTATTCCCGTTGTTGTTCATCTGAGGATTTAGACAACATGGAAAAAGGAGATACTGAAATGTGTGTATTGATTTGCTTAGTTGAAATTTGTTACTGATACACAGTGGTGGTATTATCAGGACATATTTTATTGCAATCCTAGGTCAATTTTTAGCCTTCCTTTACTGCATACATTTAAACTCTGGAGCTGTTCTGCTTTACCAGTTTATGACTGTGTTCATTTGACTGGTGGCATGTTGGTGCTCACGCTGTGTGTGTCTTACATAGGCTCAGGCTCTATGAACAGTGCTTCGTCTCAGCTATGAAATCCTGTTGTTAAATGTAATTTAATGTATAGAGTAAATACAGCACACAGTATGATCGATTACCAATTTCTTCCACTGATATCATGATGCATCAACGTTGGCAGGATTGTCAACCATGATTGTGTACAACATATTGTGATAGTATGACATCGGCCAGTGGAAAGCTTTAATTGAGTAGCACCCCTGAAGTTTTGGGGAAACATTTATTTTAATGCTGGACTGATGATATATGGTTTGCCTTTTAACTGATCAATGAAGTGGTTTGTTGTGTAGTGGTTTCAATATTTTATTCTAATGTAAATGTATGCTAATTCACAACATTCATCCCTGTAAGAGCTTTTTGGAAATAAACCATTAAAACAGTAAGGGAAAAAGAAAAGTACAGAAGTACAATACAACACAAAATAAAAGGAGGTAAAATGAGTATATTAAGATATGATAAACACGCGTAACAGGAACTACAGAAGACTCGATGTGAGCACAAGTTTGTTGCTGAACCAACCAATAAGTAGTTGTGAGCTGTTGCCCAGAGTCTGACCCAACTCCATTAATCTCAAAAGCAGTCAATCTACAGTCACACACAAAAAAAAGAAAAGCAGCACAATCTCACATTCAAGAAGTTGTTTTATCACAAATGTCAGAGATTGATTAAATCTGTTGATTGACTACCCTTTTATTCATGTAATTGTTTCAACTAGTTGTAGAATCAGGTGGCATACTAGGTTACTGGTGAGTAATGTAAACTACAGCAATGCATCAAATGATGGACTGAAGATTGATGATTATTTACATCTCTCCAGGAACTGGAACTGCACTGTAACGTTAGCTATGTATTACTCCAGTGCTTATTCTTATATTTTATTAAATTATTTTAAAATACTAAATTAACACGTCTGTGCAACATTGCCTTGTGATTCTTAATTTTATTTTGCTATCTTATGTAAATCACTTTTAATCGCCTTGTTTTTGAATGGTGCTGTACAAATACACTTTCCATGCCTTACCAAGTAACGTGCATCATTTCAATTTTAAAATGTGGCGTTCAAGTAACGTTATTACTCCTAAAATGGAAACACGTAAAGTAAGGTACTTGGGAGGTATTTTGAGATTGTACTTTGCTACACATATGGACAACACGTCTTTCCACCTCAGCCCATTGAAAACAGGATAACTTCCCAATCAGCCTACTGCCTTGCTGTCATGTGGCTAACAGCTGACAATACAACGCTAATGAGCTGTAGCCGAACTGTAACAGTGTTGAAATTATGTCAGTTTCACTTCCAATTAAATAAGACGCCGCTTTGCGTTTACGCAACTTGTGTTAGCTGAGGCTAATCCGCTACTTTGGAAACCACGCTAATGTTGACGCCAAAGCTAACTGAGCGTATCGATATGTTAGCTCGATAACGGAGAGTTAACGTTAAGTCAACGTTACTCAACCGCCGACTGTAAACAAACAGTGCAGACCAACATCAAACTGCAGAATGACATCATGTGTGGCTTTATTAATCCCACCGTGGCTACACTGTCCGTCCAGGCAGGCTAACTCGACACGGCGGCTGAGATCAAGCTAGCAGGTAACGTTAACTTGCAGCCGGTGAGAAGTCCTGTGTTACTGTGTTAGCCACCAACTGCTAACGTAGGCCACAGCTATGTTTAGGTTAGCCACCTAGCGTTAGCATAAACAGTAGTTATTAAGGAGAGGAGAGCTGGCCCCCACACCTCTCGCACTAACTAGAGGGCGTGTATGACTGACACACGCACATACATACCTCTCCAGAGACCCCAGTGAAAACAGGTATCCGTGACTGGACACGAAATAAGGCTGTTATTTCTATTGTCAAACCCAAAAGCGATAAGACGATGACACCAACGTAGCTTTAGCAATCGCCAGCAGGAGAAAAATGACACTTCCGGTTCTTCTTCTTCATTTGTGTTACAGCCGCTGAAAAATGCCACAGAAAGCGCATTACTGGCACCAGCTGATCTGGAGTATTATTCCTAATTATAATCTTTCAAAAACTCCAGTAATATCTAATAAATATTGTGAGCTGCCCTAGAATAAAATTCCTTATAATCATAATATAAATACTTACATTTGCAGTCTGTACCGCACCAAGACAGACCTGACACATTACAAAGGCGTCTGTGTCTATACTGTGTTACTGTTTCTGCACCTTTTCAACAACAATCAGTGCTGTTACACAAAGCTGCATTAAGATTCTTGTTGCTGTATGTGTTGTCAGAGTTTAAAAGAAAACAGATTGACTAGTGTATTTTGTATGATGCTTTGGCAATATTGTTCGTGCCAATAAAGCTAATTTGAATTGAATTGAAATGCACAAAAACATCCCGTAAGGCGTTTTCACTGTATGGTTTTTATTTTTTTTTCTGCCACCAGTTGCACAAGAGTTTGAAAATCATATCATCATAGATTTGCAGTTGACAAAATAAAATTATACAAAACATTAAACAGTTACTTCACTGATTTAGTTTAGATTAAAACAACAACAACAACAACAACAAGAAGTTTAGTTTACTCATCATAGAGAGTATGATTTATCCTGTGGAAACATTCGAAAAATGTTTTCTGTAGTTCTGGAGGAAGCTTTCCTATGTCTATTATCTTGACTTTAAACAAACATTTACAACAGCAATTGAGAACTATTAGGCTACAAGCCTACTATAAAACAGCTTTAACTAGTTCCTGCAGGTTTTGAGCATCTCATGCCAGCAGCATTCACTCCCTAGCATCAAAATGTAATTTTTAATGGCATGTGGAAGCCACCCTCTTGATCCAAAGTAACTGAAAAGTGTTGAGAAGAAGAGGTGGTCACTCTGGCTTCTTGCAGTGGCTGAACTGCATGCTCCTTCTCCTCAACTTCTCGGGCTGGAGAGACGCGAGGAGAGAAAACTCGCGAAAGACATCAATGCAGGAGATGTCACCTGCAACGGGGGGATACTAAAGTCAAATGGCGGTTCGTCCCACTGGGCTGGGCACCATGGAGACTGCAGGGACCAATCTGCTAGCTTTTGCTTACCTTTAACACCAGCGAGCAACACTGCAAGCCTTTTTAATGACGTGACATAAAAGCAATAAACCAGCAAATACTGCAATCCCCAATAACCCACATGTCACTATTCAGGAAGAAAGACAGAGATGATAAACATCTGCATGAAAGAGCAACACCCCCACAGCATAGCCTCAAGATTGAGTAAAGCTCCTCAGTCTACCTTGGTGGTATATAGACACCTATTCCTTCAAGATACTGTAAGTGATGTATATTTTGTTTATGAGTAAATACGTTTATGACTTGATACCAGAAACTTAAGTTGGATCTTATGCACATTTTTGATTTATTATAAACTTCTAAATGGGGGTCTCTGTTAGTCTGCAGAACAGAAAATCAGGAACTTGCAGGGAAAGAATGGTGAGCATCCTGGCCAGTTCACTCTTACGTCACCCAGGGATCCTTTTCTCTCTTTTGTTCATTTTCAAGCCACAACCAAGTGATGATACCTGGATTGGTGTGCTTTATATTCTAATTCACATTTCATAATATGCAGTGGATTATACTTACCCATTCTCTGCTGCTTGGTACTTACTGTACTAAACATTTGATGTTTGAACATTTTGGGAGTATAAACCACATATTTCAAAAAGTATGTGAATGCTGCATTAAACTTGGGTCTCAAGACATCTTTTTCAATACTCCACCACTGAAGATTTGTGTACCATTGAATGCCTAATTTCTCCCCATGATTCCAAACGTCCAGACAGCTGCAAAAAGTGTGTGCGCGCAACAGAATGGGCGACAGACACCTTAAAGATCACCCACAACCACCAGAGTAGAAAGAATCACAGTATCACACTGAACCCCTAGTATGACGGCCCAGGATGCTTCACTCACTCTATCCCGGACATCCTTGGGTTTAACGCTCCTGCTGCCCGTGGCAACCCCTGTGGTAACAGAAGCAATGATATGTCAGTCAGCCGCTTATTTCCTAAAGTGGACATGTGAGAGAGGAATTAAGACACTTCTGGCATGTGAGGACATTTTTCAGTGATGGTGTAATACTTGTGAGATCACATAACACACTGGAGACACTGAATTATTCAAGGCACAGTGTTGCTGCTGCATTCTAGAAACTGAGGCACTATCTGAAAAAACAGCAGACCCAAACCACTAAAGTGATCTTTAAATAATGTGTTGATGTTGACCTGGCAGTATGGAGATGTCCATGTGTACATTTCATTTATATTTAGTATAATGGAGGAAACCATAGTATTGCTTTGAATAAGCCAAGTGCTACCCAAACGTTTGTTACCACATTGTAAAAAAACAAAAGCATTCTCCCAAAATCTGACAATGTTTCGACATACAGCAGCTCTATTTCTTCAAATTAAAACACCCGTTTTATCAATTCATCATTTACAGACACTATTTTCTCTTATATAAAAATATATTATATAAAATATATTGCTGCAATGTTGAGAGAATGTTAATGCACAAGAGATGAGACAGGAAACAGAAATGAGAGCAACAAGCAGGAAGCAGGGTTAGTTCATCAAGAGATTCTCAGTTTTATTGTATGCATTTTGTTTTTCTTCCCCCCCCCCACTCAGTGCTTCTAAAGACAAAGAAGAAAGTATTCCAAAGATATCCAAATGTCAGTGGACAGAAGAACGCCTCCGAGTCAGTTTGGTCTGACAGGTTGCTTTTTGAAAGAGATACATAAAACAGATCAGACAGTCGGGATCTGTGATTGAATGCTGAGAAGCAGGCAGCTGGCATCAAGTTAAAATACACAAGTGTACTATTTACAGCATGTTTGCTTTGAACAGCACCTTTAACCACTCCTATGTCACACACAATGGACACAACATTTAATACTTCAGCTAGGGCGAGGGCCCTTAACAGTTTGGTCACAGTAGCATCACATCACCCCCTAGACTGGTTCTACTTGCAGTACATTGAACTATTGCAGAATATAACCTGCCATATCAAAATCTCTCAGGTCTGTCACATTTCTATAACCTCTTTTGAGCAGGTGAGTACACCAACAGTGTTTCTACCACTCTGTCACTTCACAAAGCATGTCAAGACTATGCTGTACCTACTCTGAACAGTTTCAGTTTAAAAAACAAAAAAAACGGTGATATCATACAATAATGTCAGACACTTTCCCTTTAAAAAGTCTTTGGCAGAGGAAAATAAACCACAAGATACAAACAATAACTAAAATCACTGTTACTAAGCTTTTGTGAAAACAAACTAAAAAAGACAGGAATGAAGAAGTCACCACAGATTTGGTCCATGGATGGAAGAATGGCACAGAGGTGCAAAAAGTAAGAAACACCAGAGGGGTCATGGTGGTGCATGCTCATTTCACAGGACTGCACTGCACGACGTGATCAAACCATTGAAAAATATTTTATCATGCTCAGAACGCAAACGATGTTGAACCTCCCACTAATGACTCTGGCAAAGCATGCAGAGAACATTGTAAGCATTGACCAGTGAGGGAAGCCAGATATATACGTCCTTTGACCCCACAAGTGTGTAAACACGTAAGAAATGTGCTCCTTTATCTCACCACAGACACTGTAACATGGATGAGTATTTACAACAACATGGAGGCGCCATGATTCCCCTTTGCACTGGGAAAGGCAGTGGATGGAAGGACGAGCCATAAATCCAGCTTTATACACTCGCTCATTGCACTACAAGACTTGCTGCTCCGGCTTTGTCTGCACTTCACCTTCACAACTTGACGAGTTCTCATCCTCACTAGTGAACAACGAATGACTGCAACTAATTTTAAAACAATGGTACATTGTAACTCCAAGTTCCATAGATAAACTAATAAAATCTCTTCCAGTGGTGTGTTTGAGTATCAGTAATCTTACTCATAGCAATTTAAGGCCTTTCCAAAGGGAAAATTAAAGCAACATGTCTTTTATGAGTGCTATTACATGATGTAATCTAAATACTTCCTGTCAAAAAGTCCAAGTAATGCTTTCAGATTAAAATGACAATCAATAACAGAAATGCAGAAGTAAACTGCATCCAAGAATGCATTGCACTGGTCCTCTTGTGGAGATAAAATAAAAATACAAAGAAAGGAATAAAATAGACAATAGAGAGATGGACAATAGACTGGACTAGACAAGAACAATGTAAAAGCTGACTGAATGAAAATAAACAAAAATATAATACTGTAGGTGGGAAAAGTGCAGAATCTTTTTTTTTCTCCTTTACATTAAAACATTATGTATCATATCATGATTTAACTAGGTTTCTCAGTATTCTTTGACACATGCACTCATTTACTCTCCTCACTCACTCACTCACTCACAAAGTATCTTACAACGCAGGCAAGAGGTCTCTTTTCCACAAGCCCTTGAGTAATTTTGTCACAGTTTTACATTAAATGTCCCTTCCTGACACCTCTTTATACACAGTAAATTACCCTGCCCACCTCCACTGTAGCTTGTCAGTTACTCTTTTTCTTTTAGTAATGGAACAAATACCATTTTTTTCACCTCATGCCACAGCACATAGTTTATAGATTACCCATACAACTTCTAAATACGTATATTTACATCTCCGATTAAGAAGAGATGGGTAAGTTGGATGGTCATAGATGGTCGGGAGAGATATAATGTGTAAGGGGGTTAATGCAGCGAAGAGCTGTTAGGCAACCCACACACCCTCACACAAGGGCTCACACCACGTTACGATAAGTTAGAGGACAACCCTGTTAGCAAAACACCAAAAACCACATGTCATTTTACTGTGTGTCATGTAGCTAGCATAGCATGGGTGGTTCCGAGTAATGGCAAGCAGAAACGTAGTTGTGATGAAAAATGTAGATGGTGACTGTAGTGTTAGTAGAGTTAAAAAGGTCCATCAGGGGTCTCCCTACAACACAACGCACCCCCATAATGAGCAAGTGGTACGCTCCTCTATTCTCAGACACCCCAAGCTTCTTCATCATAAGCTAGGTATATATATATATATATATATATATATATATATATATATATATATATATATATATATATATATATATAAATATATAAATAAAGGGACCACTAGCATTCGTCTATGGTGAGGCAGATGAATTCCTGGATGCACTTTCTATACTGCTGCTCAGTGGGGCTGCTGCTGTGGTATTGACCTGGTTGACCCAACGGAGCCTCCGCCTCTCGCATCTCCTCGTTCATCCGCGCTAGGCGCAGTCTGCAAGAGAGAAGAAAAAGACAGAGGTGGAGGGAGAAATGAAAGGGGACATGTGTGGAAGGATAATAAGAGGACGAAAGGCAGGTGAGAAAAGATATACAGGGAGTGAAAGACAGTGAGAATAGAAATGTGATGGGGCGGTAAGGAGTGGCAAAGGGGGAAGATCCACAGTGGGTAGGAAGTAAGGGGAGGGGAGGAGAAAGTAAAGACAACAATCAGGGTTACAATTCAGACAATTCACCATCTGCTTTCATATAGAAAAAATAATTCTGTCCTATTAAACAACATTCAGATATTTAAGCAGTGATCAATGGACAGTAGTTTGACCAAATAAGCCTTTTCCAGAGCTTTCAAACACATTATATTATTTAAAATATAAAAAACAAACAGATGATCAGATTTCCATTTCATGGAATTAATCTTACAACTCTGTCCCAAATATCTTAAATTAATGCATTTGGTGGTGTATGGGGCAGCTTTCCTATTGAAAGAATGGATCAACTACTATTGCCAATGACTCAAGCATAAATGATAACCAACACATAAATGTTTATTAGGAACTAGCTAAAAAACTATCATCGGTCTAAGGAGACTTAGGATCACTCACAGGGTGACGATGTCTGCGTTGGCGGCCTGGACAGCAATACTTAGGGGGTCATGGCCCTGCTCATCCACCTCCGTCTGTGAAGCTCCTCTCTTCAGGAACAGACACACCTGACTGCACAAAATAAGATGCAGGGGGGTGATGCAGGGGTGAAATGTGAAAGATTTTGTATACTGGGAGAATAAATAGCAGAGAGATCATGAGGGCAGGACGAGGAAGGAACACTAGTTTTGCAATTTACTGATTTGTCTATATGAACTACTATGTCTGCGAGATAAGACTATACAGGAACGTATGTCTTTTAAAGAGTGTTTTCTTTAACAGTGCTGCATCATGGGGTTTTCCATTGCTAAACCTACACTCCGTTTATCAACCAAGGAGGAAGATCGGAGATTATCGCCTCTAAAATATTTGGCAGTAGATTCACTCGTTACAGGGGAAAACAGTCATCCCATACCATCCACTAAACATGCCTGAACCGGGGTGTATTTCTTCATTACAGCTGAGTGATACTTTGCGTCACATTCATGCCCACATTTCAGCTTTTTATTTCCACTGCATTCAGGCTGGAACATGAATCAAGAGTGTCAATGAAAGTGGAAGCACCCCACTTGTAACGACTTCCTCCCACTTTGCAGGTGCTTCTTACCCAGTGTGTCCGAGGTAGGTGGCATGGTGCAGTGGGCCTCTGCCTCTCATGTCCCTCTGGTTCACATCGGCTCCGTTCTGCAGCAGGAACTCACAAGCTATCAGAGAGCCCTGAAAGAGACACAGACAGGCAGACACTTGTTTATTGTTTATATTAGGTTATTAGTTTAGTATGTTTTGCTCTGCTTTAACATTTTCACAGTTTTTCAAGTGCATCAAACAGTTTAGTTTCCTTCCTTGTTTTTAATCATTTATGGTTGTGTTTATGCTTACATACAACCATGGTCCGGCACCGTCTACAGTTTTTTTTTTACAGCACTTAAATCAGAAAGGTTCAGTGAGTCTAAACCATTGTCGGCTTACACCCTTCTCACTTACTGCTAATCCAAATAACAAACATTATCTCACCCCGATTACGGCCTGAATGAGTGGCGTTTTTGCCTCCTCCTCCTCACTTGCAGCGTGTACGTCAGCACCGTGTGCCAGTGCCTCCGCCATGAGCGGCAGGTTGTGTAGACGGGCGGATCGGTGGAGGAGCGCCCCGGGGTGGAACTCCCTCGGGTCTTCGGGGTCTGAAGATACTTCCTGTTCGATCTCCACCTCACCACTGGAGGACTCCTCCGACTCCTCCTCTGAGGGTGGGAAACAAAATATTTTAAACTTTTATAACTCTATGAAGAAATGTAGCATTGTTTTAACTTGGGGATGGTACCAGTGTACTTTATGTCTACGTCCTTTACATGATTCCTGTCAATGTACCATGCTTTTATACAAAATTAAAAACAAGATAGATCTTGACAAACCATAACAATAAACATTATGCCTTATTTTTATTATTTTATTTTATTTTTTAAATTTCTTTGATTCATCCTAATTGTGTCCCTGAGGTGAGTGTGTTGATGTCTCAGTGGACCAGAAAATATTTCAGGCTGTTTGAATGGATCTTTGAGCCAACTATTTTAGGTGGAGCAGCAGTTTGTTTCAAGCTTTGACAATAAAATAGGTGTTTTTCAAAACAAAATATAAGAATTACAAAGCATAATACAAGTAAATGTAACAAAATTTAATCACATCACTGCTACAGTGCAAAGTGGTTTGAGGAAATTGGTTATACTGTAACTGTTATTGACAGGGAGTATTCTCCTTCATCATAAAAACATAAACATGACCTTATTCTTGCGTCAACACACAAACACACGTACCTTCTTCTGTGACACTGTCCACCACCGAGCCAAATACCAGGATGTCTGTGCTGCCGTCAGTGCTTCCTCCCAGGCCGCTGTCACTGCTAAGACCTGCGGGGCCAAGCATTGCCAAGCCACGGACACGTTAATGATTACACAGCACATACTGTACCACTCATAAGAACACCACCATCACTGATAGGGAAGTACAATTCAGTTGTTCAGTTGTTTTGTCAAAGCAGTCTGCATCTTTGTCAAAATATCTACAATAATCTTGCAAGTGCATGCTACCTGTATGTACTGACTGTGTAGTGGACTTACTGCGAGGACCAGAGCCAGTGTCAAAGTAGGAAAATAGTGAATCCAGCTCATCTGGGCAAAACAGGGAGTCCCGGCGAAACTTTGCTGCAGCTGCTGCCGAACAAAAGAATATCGCTAAAAGATTTATAGATATACACATATTTTTTGCATGATTTGATGCATAATTTTATGAGCCCTGTGCTAAAGTTTACGAATACAGAGAAGTTCGTTCTCTGCACTGACCTGCAGAGAGGTTTGCAGGTGAAGCGCTGCCCGGCTCGTAGCGGTGGTATTTCCTGCGGGCCTTGTTGGGGGCCCGAGCAGAACTGCTGTGTCGCTGGCACTTCTTCACTGTCCATGGCCGGGACTTCCTTTCACCCTCCACCAGTGCCTCGCTCCCACTCATCTTCTTTAGGAAGCGTTTCTCCACGTATTTAGCCTTGATCCAGGTCTCTTTCTCCTGTCTGGAGGTAGACGATCACAAACTGAATTTTACATAATTGGAGAAATGTAGAGACAACTGTGTGTCGCCTGGATTGATTAATACAGTAAAATAAGATAATAATAAGGTGGACAATGAAAGAGAGATGTAACGTGACAGATAAGTCAATGAAGACTGACTTCAATTGAACCTGTGGCCAAGGTATGTAACAATGGTTTGCTAAAACGCTCTTTGCTGCTCTTTGTGTAAAGGACTGACCTTGAACTGGATGGTCCAGGTTTTTTTGCTCCCAGCTCTTCGCAGGTTCCCTCGTAAATGTGGTTGATCACAGTGTTCCCCAATTCACACATCAGCTAAACATGAGAGACGAAGAAAGGAGGACAAAGATGGGGGACAGAGACAGAAAGAGAAAAGATTTTAAAACATAGTCCAATCCATTTTTTAGCAATGCACTGAAGGAATTATAAATTCAACTCTGGTGGACAAAAGAAATAAGAACACAGAAAGGAAACGCTGTAGGCTCCTGTGTTGGGGGGACGTACCTTGAGTAATTCTGGCTCCCATGAGTCTAACGTCAGTGAACGCACTTTAGAGCAATGGACGCCTAAACTCCTTAAAGAAACCAGAAGAACAAGACATTACATATATATATAAATGTGAAGTTTAACAAGGGTTTATATCTATCCATCATAACTGCCTGAGGAGGCAAATGTTTTCAGTTTCTTGATAACTGACGCTGTATCTTTTCTATTTTTGATAGAGCTTTGATGATGAAAGATGAGATGAGACATTGCAACATTTCCTGTGAATCAAGTGTGATTGCTGGAATGCAGATGTTTGCTCACCATAAGTTGTATAAATGGAACAAGCAGAAACAGATCAAATTAGGTCAACTGTGACAAGACAAAGTTTTTACGATATATTTTTAGTAACAGATGCTGGTGACTGTGTGATCCTTGTGTTTCTGGATTTAACAGCTGCCTTTGACACTGTGGACCATGAAATTCTGGTCTCTCGTTTAGAGCGATGGGTGGGCATTACAGGCATAGCCCTAAAATGGTTTCAATCCTACTTGAAAGGTAGGACATTCAGTGTCAACTGTGGTGACTCTGTGTCTACCACGGCGCACCTCTCCTGTGGCATCCCACAAGGCACATTTCTAGGCCCTCTTCTCTTTTCCCTTTATCTCCTCCCACTTGGCTCAATACTTAGGAAACATGGCATCTCTTTCCATTGTTATGCAGATGACAGCCAGATCTATGTACCTTTGAGTAAGGATGACACTCTCAGACCACTGTTTGCATGTCTAGAGGACATAAAGGCTTGGATGGCTCTCAACTTCTTAAGTTTTAATGAAAACAAAACGGAGGTGATGGTTTTTAACGGCACCCCTGGGACTCACTCCCCTTGTCACCTCGATCTAGGCTCAGTATGTCACACCAATCGTCACTGATGTAGGAGTCAAAATTGATGCCGATATGAAACTGGATAAACACGTTGGGTTAGTGGTTAAATATAGTTTCTATCAATTATCAATGGCTAAGCTGAAACCGATTCTTTTTAAGCATAATTTTGAGACTGTTATACACTCTTTTGTGACTACTAGACTAGATTACTGCAACGCACTTTTTGTTGGGATGAATGGATCGTCTCTCGCCCGTCTCCAGATGGTGCAAAACGCTGCAGCTCGTCATGCTTTTGCGGTGGCAGCTCTGAAATTGTGGAATGCCCTTCCTCTTACCATAGACAGGCTTCCTCACTGTCTGATTTTATAACTTGTTTTAAAACTCATCTCTTCCATCTGGCTTTTGACCTTTGAGGATGACACTTGGAGGAACTCATTTGTTAGTGTTTTAACGGTATACATTATATGTATGTGATAACCTGTAAATTAAGTAAAAGATGTTTGCTTTTTTTTAATCTCTGTACAGCACTTTGTGCAACTTCGTGTTTGCTGTTAAAGTGCTCTATAAATACATTTTGAAGGATTGATTGATTTAAGTGGGGAGGAAGCTCGATGTGTGGTTTGTTGTTCTTTTAATAACTTTATCTTGTAAAGATGTTTTGAGCTGGCCAATTCCCCAGAGCACCTTGCTCTAGATTTAGTTTGTTATTATTTTACACTGACATAACCAGTTTGGGTAAAAAATATGCATAATCAGCTCACCTGCTGATGTTCTTCCTGCCTGTAAACAAACTCTCTGGTGCTATTAAGTGCAGTTACCTGTGGATTCCTGAGCACTCAATGCAGAGCAGCACTCCCAGGTTGATGGAGGCCCAGCAGGGAGCTGTTTGGCCACAGTCACAGCACAGCTCGTTGCCTGGCAGGCTCTGCACCCTCTGGAGGAGGCTTTCCCCACCTCCCCGAACTCCCCTCTCCCCCCTCTCTCTGGGCTCACTGGCAGAATCGATGCTGCTGGTGGAGGGCGAGGCTGTCCTGTCCAAACGCTGCAGAGGCAGGTCAGAGACAGAGGTTCTGAAGCTACCTGGCACCAATTTGTAATGAAAAGAGATGGCACTTGTGTGTTACCATGTGACTGCTGCTCTATACATGAGTGTGTTCGTACCTCAATGTAATAATTGTCGGCGATGTCTTTATAAGCACTGGCGATGCTTGCCTGGACTGCCTGGATCCAAGCCTGCCGCAGCTTCTCCGATTCAGCCTGCAGCATACAGCTCCTACAAGTTTGTACATGCCAGTTATAACACCTGGTCATAACTGTATAATGCTATAAGGCTACATGTTATTTGGCTGATTAGTGAATTCCAAATAAAAGTCAGTAAGGTAACAACTAATCAGCACAGTAAAAAAAGATAAACAGCAAAAGGTTTTAGAGGGGAAACACACACATACGAACACTTACTTAGTGGGTGAAACCACCTCAAAGCAGAACCTCCTCTCATTATCTTCACAGGGTTTGACTGAGCACAGCCTCAGGTCCTCCACCACCACCGTCAAAGAGTCCTGTCATTGGCAGAGAGAAGTTTGACTACAACTCTGCTAAACAAAGCAAGTCAGCCTCCTCATGAGCCATTCTTCTGCACCAATATTTAAACTAGTGATAATCAGACCAACAACTCAAACATTGCTATCTAATGAAACTGTACCTTGAGCTTCTTTTGGTAGACCAGCTGGCTGTTTTGTATAGAAAACCACCGCCTTGAGGAGGGGAGAAGGTATGAAGTTAGACAGTTTCTGTGACACAAACAATAAATCACATGTCTGCGTGCTTCCCTGCAAGGGAAAAGCACCGTGCATACAAAAGTGATTAATACGTCGATAGATATGTATTAACTAACTCTTGTAATAAGGCAAAGGTCGATGGAGAACATTCTTCTTTCTTATACAAACCACTTTCTAAGGTAAAAGTCATCCTACACGAAAAACGGGGAGTTCAAAGATAGTCTAAATGTAGTTGAGTCCCTTATCATTTGGTGACAAATATTAAATGAATAGACCAACCATATCCTTACAACAACAGTTTTGCATGTGTGCTGGTTAGCTTCCATTAGCTTACAGTTCACAAGACAATCTGACTCCCTCTCTGTTATGCTCTCCCACTTCCCTTCTCTTTTACCTGTTCCAGGTCTTGAACGCATTGCTGGCCCTCTTGAAGAGGTAGCCCTCCATGACCACGCCATTGGGTGCATCCACATTGAATTCCAACTTGGGGTCATCATAAGAAAAGTCCTGCAGGGAGAACACATGCACAAGGTCAGTTTTCATTTCCATGCTAAATGAATCAATATACTGCAATGGCCAAGTTTTCATGATTTAGTTTGTTCCTGTGGATGAGGTATACGCTCCTATTCTGCAGAAACAATGTAAGTGTCCTCATCAAAAACAACAGACCATTGTCAGTTTCAAGATGGCTCACATATTGTTTTTCAAGTCTCTCTTAAAACATAACTAGCATGCTCATATGCAGTACATTAAAAGAATTACTGGTGGCTGGCTGCAAAGAGTTTCCTTTCTTAAAGCAATTCAAAATGGGGTCAAACTCCACAGTCCTCTTTCTTTGTAAAAATACACTGTAAAGTTCAACTGGAATAAAGATTAGGTCAGGTGACGTTGTGGAGCAGCAAGTGTAAAAGTCCACCGTAACATATCAATAGGAAACGGAGATAGCGCCCTATCAGTACCACATACAGTAGCTGTGCTGACACAATGCTATTGCTGAGCTCTGTTATGTACACCCTACTTTTCCCTTTGAAATACGTCTGTTTGTTCCTCCAAAAGAATCAGCATCCTCTCCACACCAACCGTCTGTTCATTAGTTTCCCTTTAAAGTATATGTTCTATCTACACATCTCTTTCAGTTAGCTAAGACATGCTGTATTGTCTTATGTGTTTTATCCACACAGAGTTGGGTTTCCCAGGAAAAAACATTTAAAGCCAGATGCCACATGCTCAGCGAGGTGAAAAACACAGGGACACGGGTAAAACAAGACCCAAGGTGGAGGTTAGGTTTCACTTTTGTTAAGGAGGCCTTTGGTTTGGGGCAAGGTAATACTGAGCATATGATCAGCTGTGCACAGACAACTGCACACATACAGACGATCATGCTTTGCCTCAGTGCTGTATCTCTTCTTTTGAAAATATCATTGAATTACTCTGTGTGTTCCTTTCCAGAAAAGGCTGACTGTATAATTGCACACTGATGTCGTCATGCACCTTCAATGCCCTTTTGACCATGTTAAAAGTATTGAGGCCTTCTCATTGATCATCCCAGGCACCACGACTATCCACAAATATTGCAACATTGCTGTAAATTTCAGCTCAAACTGATCATATTTGCTGCTTTGTGTAGATTAACGTGAGTCATACAGAGAGTAGCAACACGTGACATTGGTATACTAGAATATAACATATCAGCTACAGCAAAAAACATGGTGGGATGTGACACAACAGTCTGTCTCCCTGCTGGCCGCTGAGGCATTCTGAGGTGTTTCCCCAAAGAAACAACCTGGTTTAACACACACACACACACACACACACACACACACACACACACACACAGACAAATATGGTACATGCATTTGAGCATCACAGCTTGCAACTTCCTGTATACTGAAACTGATCACTAGATAAAAAGACAGTTCATTTTCCTCAACTTAGAGGAAAAGAAGACAAAATGAAATTGGGTAAACAAAGCAATGATAACAGGAGATCTGTTATTATCTGGAATTCTTCAACCTCTCTCTGCCACTATCCTTTCTAGTGTCTTATAACAGCCCTAGTATGCGGCCTTTACAAACGAGACTTTGTACTGAATGCCAAATCTTCATCCATGTAACTCATTACGTTGGCTGTAATATTAATTAGGCCGGTGTCAAATTTAAAACTCATAAACACTGCCTAAAGAAAACTAAGACAAAAAAAGAAATGACGTTCCTCACCAGTGGACAGTCCAGCCTGCCAAAAATCTTCATCTTAACCACACTGACATCCAACAGCATCTCAAACTCAATAACAACGGATTGAAAACGCAATAAATAAATAAATAAATTACGCTAAGATGCTCGTCAGAGAGGAAAGACCATCTCTAAAATATTCCACAGATTATTTACTTGGAGCAGCAGGACGACGTGAATCCAGATGAGACACTGTCACAGCTAACCACAGCGTGGCGTTCCTTCACTCAACGCCACCTGCGGACTGCCGCGTGGATCTCGCGCGAGCGCTCATTACCATACAGCTGTCACAGAGTCCTCGTGGCCCGCTGACCCCGTTGCGGCTGCCGGAGATCAAACATTTCATTTTACACCCGATTGTGCACACTCCCCGCCCCGCGCCGCTATTTAAGGCTCCCCTCCAACTATTCTGAAGCCTGGGGTTTCATCCACAGTTTTGGAGGAGTCAGCTTTCCATCTGTCTGCGGCTCTGAAAACTATTGCTGCTTAATCAAGCTGACATTATTGCTCCCCAAACACCAGCCCGATGGCCCCTCTTCCCACCTTAAATCAGCCAGCACCACAGAGGACTGTCTGCAGCGCACAAGCAGAACATGCGGCTGCAGAACGGCCCATATCTAAACCAGGGACCCACAAAATGTATTTATATTGCAGAATTGATCATTCTTAGGCCTTTGTCAATGATATGGCCATTTTTGTTGAAGCCTGCACACGATTATTTGCATAATGGAGCATTCTAAGGTGTGTCTGTTTGTTCTCTGGCACAACATACTAAACCTGTTCAAAAACAACACTGGCGCAACACAGCTGCATAAACCGGCATAAACCAGCACCTGTGTACTACATTGAATTACATAAATTTATAGAATTTACTGCTTCTGTCTGGACACAGTTTGGGAACAGTTGCCATGATTTTTAGTATCCAATATATAGTAGGCTATCACAAGAGCAAGAAAGTGCACATAAATGTGACATGTTGCAGTAAAACATCTACAAACAAAATTTAAATGAGCAATAGCTGATATTTAGCCCTGCATTATTCCTTACTAAATACTTAGCATAGTTACATAGCTTTGGAAGACACAGCAATTTGTCAGAAGAAAAGTGACAAGCATCATACTGTATGTTGCACAAAGCAAAACACACACAGCATGACAGACGTGTTGATTGAATGATATGGACATTTTTAAGGCAGGCTATTGTTAAAGCCTACACAAGATTATTTGCATATACAGAGTGTACCTTTGTACTACATTGATTTACAGGAATGTATAGGTGATAAATTACTGCTTCTGCCTGGAATAGTTTGGGGACAGTGGCCATATTTTTCTTTCTTTCTTTAGAGTTTCTTTGGTATTTTTACCTTTATTCCGGGGGTGGTGATGGTTCAGTGGATAAGACACATGCCTTTGGTGTGAGAGACCCGGGACTCACTGTGACACATCCCTGAGCAAGACAATTAACCCCTAGTTGCTCCAGAGATGTGTGACCTCTGACATACTGTATATAGCAGTTGTAAGTTGCTTTGGATAAAAGCGTCAGCTAAAATGAATAAATATAAATTCCACAGTTTGACAGCAGAGACAAACATGACATGTGGGGAGACCAAGAAGACAGCAAGTAAAAAAGGATTTCATTTATCCTGATCTGATGGGCTACAATACTGTAACGGCTACACATACAAAGGATGTGCACATGCATGCTATAACCCAGTAAATAATCAAGGTTTTAGTTGAGTTAAATTGTTTAAACAGACACAAAGCAGTCTGCTTTGTCATTTATAAACACGTTTGGTTTATGAAATGTTTGCCTTCCCACTACAGCTTTCTTGCAGCAGTTTTCTTTCTGTTTTTGCCTCTCTCTGTTTGCCTCACTCTGACTTCAAAAAGTTGCACAGCCAAATGCTGTAACAATGGAGGAGGACAGAGCTGAGGCAACAATCCCCCCGGGAGCCACAAGGAAGTCCAAGAGAACACATGAAAGACTGCTGTGAAAGAATAGAGAGAGGATAAAGAGGGAGCATGTGATCTGTGGACGGAGAAAGGGAGATTTAAAAAAGGGGAGGGTTAGTCGCAGATTCACCCAAAAACAGTGAAAGTAAAGGCAAGGTCCAAAGAAGAAAAGGAAGAGAAGTGAAAGACAGCGAGCGTGCAGAGATGGTGTGATTTAATTAATGTCTCACTCTCTGACAAGATTGTTTGGCCTTCACGTGCAAGAGAATGTGATGAATGTCAAGTTAAGATGTTAAATTCACCCACACCCACGTCTTTATCTGTAGTGATCAATTTTAATCAAGAAATCTGCTCTCGAACACCGTCATACCATTCCCACTCCTGCATATCTGTGACAGATTTTAAATGTATCCATGTTGTTGAGAAAGTGTTTACATGTAGTGTATCTCTTTATTTCTCTGTTATCCATCTTCCTTCCACTGAAAAACAACTTGCAAGTGCAATTTAGCATAAACTATATTCATACTGAAGATATCTTATTCTTTTCTGAGTATGACTACTGCAGTTACCTAATGGCCTATTAATAAAGGATGTATACCATCTATAATTCACAAACTCTGCTGTTTCGTGGCTTTGCCTCCTGCACCACTAAATTTGCATAAGGACAGTTTTTAAAAAAGACAGGGAGAAAGTCTGAAATGGATCAACATGTTCTGACTCTTTTCCTTATTTTCTTTCTTCAGGCTTTTTTTGTGAAATGCTTTGGTCAGATGCGATTACAAAGTAAGATGGCAGGAGACAGGAGCTTTCTACTGCTTCACATGAACACCAAGCTAATGACTCCGTGGAAACTGCTTTGCCTCATAAGCCCAGTGTTTAGTCGGTGTAGGTTTTAAAATCAAAAGACAAAGACTACGTTTGACCTACATTTTAAACTGTGGTATTGTAACAACAACCATTTGTTAAATTCATAAAAAGACAGAGCGAAAGAAAGTAATTTAGTGGGATATAGATTTTTAAACCAAAATCTCCAACGATTTTTTATTTTGCTCCGGTAGTTATAGAAAATCACAAATATTAAACTGAACGGGGATAACAACGTTTCTTTCTCTCTTCTATAGTTTAATTCTCTTTCATACACAGTCCCCGTCTGGGATCTTAAACTGATCTCCTCCTTCTTCCTCTTTGTCTTTCTCTGTCACTCACATTCAACCAGCTACTGTGCGTCATAATGCCATCTGTTGACTTTGGCTGGGGCGGGCAGTAGGCAGAGGAGGAGGTGGGTTGAGGCTGGCATATTGACCTCTCTGGCACTGTGATTACCAGAGCTGTACCTAAAAGTAGAAGACAACATCGGAGACTGCGTGGGTTCTCTCTGGGTGCTGTGGCTTCCTCCTACCGTCCAAAGACATACAGTCTAGGTTAATTGGTGACCCTAAATTGTCCTCAGGTGTGAGTCTGAGTGTGACTGGTTGTTTGGCTATGTGTGGCCCTGCGATGGATTGGTGACCTGTCAATTCCAGCTGTGAAATAATCCTAATAACTGATATTCAGCCTGGCTTTATTCCTTACTGTATACTGCACTACTTTTGTAAGACACAGCACTCTGTTAGGAGGAAAGAGACACGTATCATACTGTACTGCATATAAACAGTACATTAAGGTGTGTCTGTTGGTTTGTTCCTTGTCACAACATTCCAGGAAAACCTGTTCAATACCACAACACTGGCACAATACCACCTCATAAACCAACCCCTCAACCGGCACAAAACTGTTAGCTGTAAACTTCATTGAGAGGAACGGACTAGGGAGAAGAGCTGTGTGTTTGTTATGTGCATATACGAGAAGGAAAGGAGTGTGAATGTGAGGGATGGAGAAACCTAAAGCAGAAGCAGAGCAATGTAGAAAAAGAGACAACGTCAAATGGGAGACAAAAAAAATAACTGACGGGATTTGTACAATGAAAGTTCATCACATGGTGGTGGGGGAGGATGCAAGGATCTTTGTGACAAGCCAAGACTTGGACACAAAGTCCAAACACGTAATAAAGCACACAAACATCAGTGAGGTCAACATCCAGACATGAGGCTACTCAATAGTTTAAAAAAAAGCCCAAACAAAAGCATCTAAGCACTATTTAAAGGGTTCAGATAAAGACAAACTCACCTGCATCAGAGTCTGGAGGAAGAACACGATCAGGCGAGGACAAGGAGATGGGGCGAAAAAAGACAGAAACAACTGTTATTACAAGATCAACACTAATTGAATTTCACTACATGATGACAAATATGTAAATGTGAGACATCATGTCCAAGTCAATGTTAGTGTCCAGAAGGTCTGTTCACGCAAGCAGTAATTAGCTTGCTAATTCAGAGTGCTCCTGAAATACACAAAGCCTCCAGGAAATAGCTGTTCAGTAGCTTTATCTCTCAGAGAAAGTCCCTCTGACTTTTTAGCTACAGCACCTTAGACATGATGTGTGTTCACATTTGTGTTTAAGCATTGAGTAATCAAAATGTAGCATCACTCCGTGGTTAGGCTTTCAGATTAAAGACAGGACTGCTGCAAGGCCATTAGGTCAGGCACAAAGCTGTGTCCCGATTTAAGGATCCCCGCACTTGGCAACTAAATCAATCAGAGGGAGAGGCCAAGTCGGGCAGAAAAACAGCCATGTTTTGGCATCTCTTCAGGTAACGGATGAATTTTATGCATCTGTGCATGAGCGTGACTGTTGCACAGGGTGAGGGTCTGACAGAACTGTTCTCATTCAGCTGAGTGACCCATAAAATGAACATGTCAAACTGTCTTTGTGGAGACAGCTACTTTAAACTCTGTGAGCCTGAAGAAAAAACTACATTCAACACTCATAAACTTGCTTGGTGCGGCTCTGTGAATTATAAAAAAAAGGAATAGATGGCAGGCCGAGTCACGAGACAGAGGATGTAAAAATAATTCAAAGCTTCCGTGGAAAGCCTTTTTTCAAACAAGGCATTTGATGATAACTTAAGATACATGTAATGTTGTAACAAGGTCCTTGTCAGATTCCAGAAATAGATAAATACCTATTCTAAACTCAGTCTGGGCTGAATACGGAGGAACCCGTCATGCTATGTGAGACAGAAAAATGTTGATGCAGCTGTTTTGTTTTGGAAGAAAAATCTAGGTCAGAGGCATTTCAGGACACAGTAAAATACACCACCATGACACCATGACTTGATATGCACATACAGTAGAATGTGCATTTGACAAAAAACAGGGGTGTGCAGTGGCTTTAAGAAATAACATGTGATTCAAGTCAATCAAGTTTCTATGTGTAGCCATTAACCACAGCCAAATTCTTTAAAGGCTCTCCATTCCACTGATTTTGAAAAGAATAAACGCAGAACAAACACACAAAACATTCTTGTCTAAAGAAACCAATGAACACTTGTTCTAGTTTTAATGTATTCATCTAAATTGCAAAAGTACAAAACGTTTACACTTTGGTCAAGTTTTCAAAAAATATAATGAAGTCAATGTGAAATAAAATTAGGAATAATCCCCATATTTAAGTGCTAAGGGGACATTTCTCTGTATTTTCTTTTCTGGTTTGTTGACATTGTTGTTCCATATCAGCAGTCGAAAAGTATTTTGATCTGATTTTGCAGCATATGAGGTGCGTGTGTGGGGCAGTCAAAAGTTGTGTTGCTGTCTTACTCTCTGCTGGATGATGGCATGTTTGTGCTCCAGCTCCCTCTTCTCCATGGCCGAGTCGATGACCAGCTGATCCAGCTACGCGGAGCAAATGACAGCAGAGTCAGGGAGACACGTAAATTAAACTGTGAGAAGAGTAAAAGTATAACAAAGATACAGACGGACAGAAAACTATGCACACTGATACATTTACTTATCCCTGCTGTGTGTGTTTAAATATGTACATTAGTGTTATCTTATATCCTAACCCTTAACTTTATTGCATTCAACAAATAAAAAATATATCTGTATGCTCTTGTATTTCTGTACATACAAGGCCTAAATGTCTCTAAATGACAAGAGACTTTGATCTATTAACTGATTGCATAAGTCAGATTTATTGCATGACTCATGCAGAGAAAAGCTGTTGCTCTCAAACTGTCCACTTAATCAACTGAGTCAGTGTTCTGGTGAAGGGACAGATCAAATAGATAGAGAATATGATAGATAGATAGATAGATTGAGAGAGAAATAGATAGAGAATATGTGCACATTTTCTTGTTTGAGTGTGCTGTGTATGATTTCGGTTTGTTCGTTTCGTCTAACCTGCGCAGCCAGTTTTTTCATGTAGGGGTCAATCTCATCCAAGATGTTAAAGCCTTGTTGGAAAAGAGTGTACTGGGCACGCATGAAGGACAGCATCTGCAGGAGAGACAAGGAGACAATGGTGGTTGTAATACAGCTGTGTTACTAATCCTTCTCCCAAACACACATGACACTCACATTACAAAACACATACAGTAATGCTGAGATGTCAGTCAGAAATTAGAGGCGATATAGCCAAGGCTACTCACTGCATCCAGGATTTCAAACTTCTTCTTGGCCTGAAGCACATTAATCTGCCAAAAAGAAGATTTTAGGGTGCTTGTTTGAGAGAGATTATATATGAATTCATCCCTATCCTTTTCTGCATTAGTATTGAGAGTTTTGTGTCTATCTGGGATCAGCAGCTGTTGAGTGTCAGCGCCACCTTCTGGTCACTGGTAATATAATCTGGAATGTGTGTGTGTGTGTATGTAGGCTTGTATTACTCATGTTGTGGAGACATAAATGTGTTTCCATAGTCACATTGTGGGAACTCACCCTCCTTTGGGGGACAAAAACGCAGATCTCCATAATATAAATCATAACATTTTAGAGTGAAGCCTTGGTTAAGGATCAAGGTATGGTTAGGTTTAGGAGTAGGTATGGGTATCGGGGATGGGTTAGGGTTAGGCAAGTAGCGGTTTTGGTTAGGATTAGTCTTGCTAATTAGTCTTTATTATTAATTAAAATAAATAAATGTAATGGCCTCTGCAGTGATGGGAACACAACTGTGTAGGTGTGTGTGTTTCACCTGTAGCACGTAGTCTAGGGCCAGGTGCCTAAAAGCTTTGCGGCTGAGGACAAGGGCCTGTGTGGCCTCCTCAGCCTCGTGCACCTTGTTCCTGGGTGCCTGGGCGTTCTTCACCTGGGCCAGCTCCATGTCCTCACGCACCCGGTCAAACTGCTTCTTGGTGTCCTTGAACTTACGTACATCCCTAAAGGAGGTGTAGTAAAGTAGAGACAAAGTGTTTAATTCATGTCCATCTGTGCCAAATCACATTCAGTTTGAAATGCAGGGTTTGTGTTATCACTGGGCATTTTGTGCATGTGGTTACATGTACAATTGACCAAGAGGAGACTAACTGTTGTCTAAATATGATGAGATTACATTTGATTGAGACACATGAGACATCTGCAATTTATGTGAACATTTACATTTTAGGCATTTACATCTTACAGCCTTCATGTGGAGGTTTATATTGTTTAAATCCACTTTGACACGTCACTTATCTGTAGTGGGGTCACTTACCGCCCTATGATGTCAATTTCACCACCACACCAGTCTTTAATCATAATGTATTAGCTTGAACATGCGTTACATTACATCTTTTAACAGCAGGGGGAAGCTACTTAATTCTGACAAGATACTCACTCTTTAATGAAGGTGTGAAGCTGCTGCTTGATCGACCTCTGAGCCTGGTCAAACAAAATCTGTGCACAGAAAACGGTAACAGAGGTGAGGTCCTGAGCAGTTAATGTTATCATATGAGCTAGACTGCACAGCAAGTTAAAAGAGTTGGTTGTTAACTTTTATGACTGGATTAAATCTGTAGTTGCTACGTGTCACCACAAGATGGAAATACAAACCCTTCCACATTATCACTGTCACAGATTATGCTACAGACAGAGAAGGGGAAAGGAAAGATGAGGGCATCCACACATGTGCACTCATTCAGCTGCTGCCTCAACAGATTTTTAGCCTTACAGGATACCAGATTTCTCTTCCTGTTAACTGTTCGATTCCCACCCCTCGCTCTCTCGTCTCACACTCCTGCCCTTACTTGTCTATGTTTTCCTCCTCCATTTCTTGTTTATGATGAGCAAATCTTCTCTCCATCTAAACAAGGATTTCTCTTCCAGTTCTAGATTTCTGTCCACAGTTCAAATACAAACACAAGTGGCTAACTACATACCATCCGTCTTATTAAGGAAAAATGTATGTCTAGCTGATTTATCCATGTGCATGCATAATAAGAATACCTCTGAGAATGCCTCGGTGCCCACGCCAAACCGACACACACACACACACACACACACACACACACACACACACACACACACACACACAGAAATGAATTTAGATTAGATTATTTCTATAGCAATCCCTTGTTCGTGAACTTACACATTGAGGATTACAGGCTTAGTCTGTGTGTGTGTGTGTGTGTGTGTGTGTGTCCATCCATATGATGCTTCTGCAGAGCCTGATGACTTCACAGGCTGGATCTCTGGTTTCTTGCTTTAGATTGCAGTTCCCACGTTTTCAGAAATCCTATCCATTCTCTTCTGTGCAATATATTCTTAATGTAAGGAGATTCACTTTATGTCAAAAATACATCCTTTTAGCGATAACGCTTTAGAAGGGTTTCTAAAACTAGGATGTTTCCAAATAGTACACTTTCAACTAATTATTTGGTTGCCTAATCTACATAATTTTCTCAGCTGAACATCCAAAAAATTCCCAATAACAAATGAAAGATGAATAAATATTTATTTGGGTTTAAATAGAACAGTACTTTTATGAAAGTGTTGCCCTTTCATTTATTTGTATTAAAGTATTTTGAAAACACAAACCTCACCACCCAGGGTTTCTTCTGTGATCACAGTTACTGAAAAGGGCCAACAGTGATGGACGGCAACTGCTTTTTAACAAATTGCTAGTTGGTTATAGTGGATACAACTATGCCAAATGTATCAAAGGTCTGCAGACTGTGGGTGCTATGCAAAATGATGCTTGGTACCTTCCAGGGTGGTCCAACCAGATCCAAAGGAATTACATCCCAGACAAAAAATCTAAATCAGTTCCATCAGAAAGACTTTGGACCCACATGTAAACTAATCCAAATGTTCTACCCAAACCTGCTCTGGATTATGGTGCCCTGGCTATGACCCAACCCATCGTACAGCATGTCTACACTCAGTTCCCCAGCATTCGTGTCCCCAAAGATCTGCAGCTTCTAAAGATCCTCAGTGTCTGCTCCTATTGAAGTCCCATCAATCGAGCAAATTCCAATCTCACAGAAACCTGTTCAAATCCACCATGGTATCATTCTCATTCTGTTATGATTAAGTGTAGCAATTAGGTATGTTTAAAAGTACACCCATTTAGTCATCATGAGATTTACTGGGAGATTCATTTTCCTGTTTGAATGGCTTCTTTTGTGGTTGACGAGAGCTCAGAAAGTGCAGAAATAGGCATCAGTGGGTGGTCGAACAAACAAAGACAGATTTCCTTGTCTTTCGCTCCCCTCCCTCCATCCCTTCATTCATACTGCCTGCCAGACAAGCCTTTAGTGTAATTCCTGAGTGTTAGAGAGGAGGAGTGGGACGCCTGCGCCTGTGGTGAGGGGTGAAGGGTAAAGGGGTGAGATTTTGAGGAGAGGTGGTGGAGTGGCAGTGGAAAAGAAGGTAGTGAAAGGTAGTAAAAAAACAACAAAAACCCACAGGACATAGTCTATCACCATGGCCAGAAGACGTATTGCCTGGAAATTTCACTGGTAGTGTGTGGTGTGATAAGGCAGAAAGCTACAACAGAATACACAGCATGTCTGTACATGTAAAGGAAAGCAAGGAATTGACAGCTATTAGAGGAAAAGAGAGAGGAGAAGATTCCACTGGACTGATGCAGCTGATGGATCCCATCAAGTGTGCAGCGCTTTGATTTGATTTTAAAAAGGGAATTAAAGTTAAACCAGCTTGACCTTAGTGGAGTGAAACAAGTCAGGGGCATGACTGAAAAATATAGGGGGAAAAAGCAAGACAGATTAGCCAGGAGTATGGGAGGATCAACATTTAAATGTTTGCTTGTAACTTACTGCTCTATTTAACCAACTGGTACGTATTTACCTAGAGAACAGTGTTTGAATGCCCTTCAGCGACTTAAGTCAAGTTCATTTGTGCTGTATTTCAAAGTACGGCATATTTGTTTAGTCAAATGTATGTTCAACAAAAAGCAATACATAAGAGGAAATCACTAAAACAGGACCCCCCCCTCATCAAAGGCTTACAGTGTAAAGGACAGTATGGTCAGAATGAATGAAGCAGGGAAGTCCAACTGTAAAGGGGAAGATAAGAGTTGCTGATAAGCATCTGTTCTACACCCACAGGAGCCTGTAGAAGTTGCAGTCGAACAGAGGGATGGGAGATCCAACTTTTAAACATCAGTTATGTGAAAACAAACAAACAAACAAAAAGGACCCCTAACAGCGTATCTGGAATCAGCTTTAATATGAGAGAAACATCCAAGTCTGAGTACTGAAGATCTGTATAACTGAAATAAAATATAACTCATCTGCCTCTAAATCTTCAATAATCTACTGCCTCTTTTTCACTTCCTCGTTTTTTCTCCCCTTCTTTCCTCCAACAGCCCTCTCTGTTCTCTAGCTCACTTTCCTTCGCTCCCTCATGTTTCACCATGACAAATCCTAATGTCACCTTCCTTTTTGCTGAATATGTTCACACACATTCACGCACCGACATGGAAAAAACCTCAAAACACCACACACTCTCACGCATTGCCCAGTCCTGACTGTAACGCAGTGCGGTGAGAGACATGTATGTAACTGTACGTATGTAATATAAATGTAAACTTAAATGCTCTCTTTTACTGCAGTATTGCCTTTAGGCTTCGCAAACCTGTAGCAGGTTCCTAGAAAAGAAAATTTCTTAAATCACACTTAGTCATGATGAGAGAGTCTTATGACTAAAAGCTGCGTATGTGTGTGTTTTGTATGTGTGTGCATTTCAACTTCTGTGAAACATGTGGTTTTAATCAGACACACACATGTGGACAGGCCTGTGCGGACAGATTCACCGTTACAGAGCGAGGTCACAGTTAAATTGTGTGTAGGTGTGTGTGTTTGTGTGTGTGTTGCGTAATACTGGACCCAGAAGGAACAGGATGTTTTAAAGACGTTAACATGCCAAGAGGACCCGGGCGTGTCGGGACAACACTCTAAATCGACCTCTTGCCTGTGGCTAAAACTCGTGTGTGTGTGTGTGTGTGTGTGTGTGTGTGTGTGTGTGTGTGCGCGCACACGCGTGTGTGTCTCTTACCATGTGGTAGTTGACAATCTCCTGGAGGCTTTCTCCACACTTTTCAAGACATTCCTGCAACGTTCACAGCACACACACACACACACACACACACACACACACACACACACACACACACACACACACACACACACACACACACACGCACAGTTGTCCATAAAAACCTTAAACACCATAACATTTCTATACTGTCTCTGTATACTGTACTGTCCACAAAACATGATCTGGATCTGTACTTAAAATAAGCTCAACATTGAATAGTTGTCTGTGAAACAATTATGTCTCTGCTGCTTCACCCCAAAGCAATAACGGTGACACCCGTACCAACAGAAACCTAGTAAAAATGTTTCCCTAAAAGAAAACCATAAAAGCAGGTTTCACATCTTTCTGCTTCAAGCCATGTAAACTGTCAGCATAAACATCTCCTGTCTGCATGTGGTCACATCTGTCATGTCTGAAACAGCTGGATGACTCTGCGTCTGGACAATACTGTTTATACTGCTCTGCTGTAATTATTCATGTGGGGAATCATAGGAATGTCCCAGCAAAGAAAGATGAGCGGCCATTTGTTGAGAAGCTGGCCCTCGAACATTCCTGAGCGGACATACAGATCTGAGCCCAGTTTCGAAGGCAGTGCTGCTTCTGCTCACCGATATCATCTCCTCCTTCTTGCACTGCTGTGACAGGTCCTTGATGCCGTTCACAAAGAGTTTGTTGGCGCTGACGTAGGCCCTGCCGGCCTCGATCATCCCGCTGCACAGCTTCACCAGCTAGGAGGGTGAGGTGGGAACATAAAAATAATAACTTTGAATACTCAAAAAAGACACTATCTATTTAAAAAGCTGCATATGTGACAGAATGTGATGCTAGGATATTAATAGTTACAGTCATGACGTAAATCAAACGAAGAGAAAGAAGAATTGTTAGTCACATGCAGAATCAAAGAGGGCGCTCAAATTTAGAATAATCCTCATGTCTGTATCTAGGACAGTGTAGGCACTACTGAAGCTAGTCTGGTAACCAAATGAGAAGTGAGTATTTATTAAGCATTTTTAAAGAAATGCAAATAAAAAAATCTCTGTATCATTATTGTGAGAATTTTTCAAATTGAGTGGTTTTCAAAGTGGGTGCCACTGCATCCCGGGGTGCTGCAATGCCTTATCTGCAGGAAGAAGCTTTCAGATGCACAAATGCTGCAAATATATATATATATATATATATATATATATAAACGTTTTTTTCTGTGATGCTCCTCCCCTGTTTGGAGGTTGTCCTGCCACCCTCAGCAGACAACTGGCTGAATTGGGAGCTATAAAAGCTGGCCCATGTATTCAGATCAATTCTAGCAGGTTACATCCATGCTGTGGCATCTTCTTTTGTACTTGTGTTTATTTTAGTTTAATAAATATACTTGTTTTATTTAAGTACCTTGCATGGATTCCCTCTTTGTCACATATCCTTTTCATTTAAGCAGTTAAATAAAATGGCAGAAAGTAATATAGAGCACCTACTATTTAGTGAGTAGCTCAGTAACAGAGTGTGATTTCAGCCATACGAGAGCAAAAACCTAATTGTAAACACGTATATTACAAGGTGCAGACAGTTCACAGCGATGGCATGTACTTTTTTAAACACCACTTGAACTGGCAACAGCTACACATTCCCACTTAATGGGTAATATCATACTCTACAGACTGGTACACTGTCATTACCACCGCACTGATGCAGCTGTGTGTATTACAGAATCAGAACGTGTGTGTGTGTGTGTTGGTAGGGGGGTGTGCAGAAGAGAGAGTGTAGTAAACCTTTAATTATCGCATTTGGTGCAGGAGTTCCCAAGGTTGTCTCTATGTGAGTGTGGTTTTCTGGGTGGCTGACAGCAAGACTTTTTACTTTGAACAGGCCAGAGATGAGAAACTAGAGAGTGAGCATGAATTGCAAAATGCATGCACGCTCTGTACGTACAGAAGTAGTTATCTGATGGGCATCATACAGTATATATGTTTACGTACACCACTGACACTGTTATCAGTCCACGCAAAAGACAAGGCAGCATGGTTCCTGCCCTTCTGGTGCTCCCAGGCTGGTCTGACAACATATCTGTCAACAAATTGGCTGATATGTGGGAATCTGATCTCATTGTGTGCTGTACTGAGCCCCCAGGGCCTGAGCATGGCCATTAGAGGCTCAGTAGGCCTATATGTGTCAGGATTTGTTGATTAATGGGCTGGAAGAACCACAGGGGTCGACTCGTAGTCCAAATGCCACATCTGGTACCACATGACAGACCTTGCGGTGTTAACTAGCCGAAACAATTACAGTGTAATGCAGAAGTCCTGCTGGTCAATGAGGTGTGGGACACACATTTTCAATTTTGGGCAAATTATAAATGGTCTATACTGTAGCAGTGAAAGTTTTGCTAGGTGTGGTTTGTGGATTGACAAACTAAAATGCTGCAACATTGAGCTAGCAGGCATTGAAACCATTACATTGGGCAACATTAGATGTTTTCACACTGTTTGGTCAACATCACTGCAGGCAGGTTCAGCTGTCATCAATCTCATAAAGGTTCTCCTCTAGAGAAGAGCCTTCATTGCCGCCAGAACATCCTCAGGCAGCTTAAGAGCATCCCAACAGAGCAGTGTGAGGACCCCCACTAAACACAACAAATCATCCTGATGGAAACCCCCCTCCACTCCCCTGCCCTGGTCATCTTTCAATGGTGTTCAAATGGAGCTCATTGTTCAATAGAGGGTCCTAACCTGTTGGGGGCAGAAATAATCTGCTGATGTGTGTGCATGTGTGTGTGTGAGAGCGTGTGTGTTCTTATATGTGACAGGATGGGTACATGGACGTTTGTTTGAAATGTCAACGTGTCACCTGTGGGTTCACTAATTTAAGACATGGGGTTGTGCCAATGTGGACCTAGTGAAGACTGCAATATCAAGAAAATGTCACTTCATAACTTTACAAAGGACATTAATCTGTTTTTATTATCTACCAGCTGCACAAGATGGACTGTACGCTTGTCAGTGACCCCAATTTGAATATATTATTGATGTGAAGAAGAAGATTGTTTCCCATAGAGTGTGCAAGAGGAAAAAAACAACTACAAAACAAAATGAATCAAAGGGAGCGAGAAGGAGAAAAAAGGTACGGTCACCACTTAACTACATTAACACTATCTCATTCTCTAAATGCTCTCCAACTCAAAAGTCTATTAGTTTATCTAAAGAGGCATTATCTCAGCTCACAGACTCCCTGGAGAGAGTTAGCCATCAATGCTTGCTGGTCTTACATACTTACAAGTAATAAGATTTGGCAATGATGCAATTGAGAAATTCATTCCCATCGCCTAGTTTGCCATTAACTAATTTGACTATTATTTTTGATCATGTTTTTTTTTTCTGGTGAGTGCAGAAAATCCATATCATGTCTTTTACCTTTTACAACCCATTTTTTCTGCTTTGACATACTGCTAGCGTTATGAAAAGTTAGATGAATATGAACATGTAATATGTAATTTGTAATACACTTACTGTGAACTCAAAGTGATCACATCATAAACACGCTGACATTTTTAGCATAACTTCCTACAATCAGTTCCTGTTACGTTTTGGTGTTCATTTAATTAGCCTAGGATAAATGGTTTACCAACTTTTTGACCTGAGGAGCAGCCTCACAGTTAACATTAGCTTGCTACTTTCAGCCTATGTTACGTTTCCGTTGGTTGTGCACGAAAAAGTGAGTTGTTGTACACATAATGCCAAGAGATGGTGTAACTTGTTAAATGCACATACCTATGCCCTATAACTGTGCTGTAATGCCATCAAACAGCAGGTTATCAACCTATCCACAAAACTTTGTGAAAACTGTTTGTTGTAGCTCAGATGATGCAAAGTAGGTCCTTCATTACCAAACACCAAGTAACTAAGAATACAATAATGAGTCATTAGCAAACTGTTAGGTAAACATTAAATTGTTGGTTACTTTCATAACCTTCATCTGGGTGATCACAGGGATATATGAATATTTGATCTGGATCAGATTTATCACATGACTTAGGAAGAGAAATGCTGTTGCTCTCAAACATCATCCACTTTATCAACTGCGTCAGTGTTCTGATAGATAAAATACGGCGATAGAATTGATTTCATGTTACCTTGGAAAAGCATTTTTGAATACAATAGTTTATATTGATACATGGCGTAGCTGCTGTTTTATGTAGTTTATCTTTGCCTACCCCTGCTTGTAAAAATAATTCAATGTACTGCAGAGTAACCAAAACCTTAAAAATGTGGCGTCTCCCCAGTGGTGGGTGTTAAATGAGCCTAAATTGCTTCAAAATCACAAACACCAATAATTAATGATACACTGTTGTTGTATTGCATGTAGCATTTTCTCTGGTCAAACAAAGACAACATATGTTCAGATAACAGAGGACGGCTCTTTGAGATTCTTTCATACTTCTGAATATAAAACTGCCTCTGTGACATTAATCAGTGTTAGCGCCAACGTGTGTGTGTGTGTGTGTGTGTGTGTGTGTGTGTCATTTAACGGTGCATGAACTTATTAACTATAATAAGTCATGTCTGCAGTGTTTCCTGGTTTAAATAGCCTTGACTTTTAGATAAGAGATAGTGAGAGAAAGACGACAGATACAAAAATGAAAAGAGAAACACAATCACAGAGAGAGAAACATACAAGGGCTCTGATCAGTTTCGCAGTGTATAAATACAGTACCGTTTACAGACGACACTAACGTCTAAAATCTGGTGGCGTTTTTCATTCAAACAATGTGAATCAAATCCAGAACTTCCGTCTCGTGTTCTAACAATATGTTCAACAAAATGACTACATATGAGTGTTTTTCACTAAAACATGATGAAGAATCACAATTTTAATACCAGTTAAAAGAGACACATACTTATAGTATGTCGTTTAGATTTGATATTTTAATGAGCAGCACCGTCACACAAATAACATGGTTCATACCTTGTCGAGCTTTGCCTCAATCTCCACCACATCTGTCTCCACGTCATCAATGCCAGCCCTGTAGAGAGAACACAAAGCCACACAGTTAATCAGATCTGCTCATCAGCAATGCCAGACTCCAAAGCACACAGACGGCCAGTTCTGAGAAGAGGGACCACACGTCAAGCTGAAAACCATTACAACCACAGTCAGAACAAGATTCAAACTCTTGATTGGAAGAGATTGTTAGGTCAGTGGTAAGACACTGTGATGAATAACAAATAAACAAAAATCAAATGTTTGTGTCTTTGACATCTTAAAAAGCAGGAACATGATATAAAGTGAACAAAAGGGAGTAAGAGATGAAAGCATGATTGAAAGATAAAGCCATGGTAAGAATATTGTACTGTACATCTAAACATTTACAGTTTCTCTATTTTACCCCCACTGGAAATTAAATTGCAATCAGTCACCACACATCACAGTCTCACAGACTTGATCATTAATCCTGTTGACTGGATCGACAAAGGCATCACTCAGGGAGATTAGTGGCCACGGCCGAGCTGCAAAATCAATGAATGACATCATGCAGAGACATAGACTGGTGCTTAAGTATCCATAAGGTGAACTGTTAAAAGAGGCAGCAGGAACAAAAAAGGAATCTTCACAGACATCGAACAAAAAAGAGTTTTATATTGGGTACCAGCAACTTCGAATTTAATAAACAACAAAGACAAACGCCCCCCCGATACACTTACCTAAATACACCAAAAAAGCACATCACACATTTAAAGTGATTCTGTTAAAGAAAAGCAAGAAAATAACATAGCTGGAGCTTATTGGAGATGATCGAGCCAAGAATCTGCGTCACACCCTGCATGTGCATGTTGGCCATAACCCCAAAAACCTGGGAGATGACGACCTCATCGCACATTCTTGACCCCACCCTCACCTTCAACTTTGTAACACCCCGACAGCTGATGGTTTGCATCATAGCAGAGGTGCTGTGCAGAGTTGGAGAAGGAACATGTAAACAGTTGAGCACCTGTCAGCTAGTTTATTCTACAAAGGCCATGACTCAGTCTGTTGCTGCTTTAGAGGGAAAGTACACAGCGAGTGGGGGGCGGGCTGAGATGTCAGTCTGCAGCTTTAGCACCTGCTGCGGAGAACAACATTCCCAGAATTCCTTTCTGCCCCTCAGTTTGTCTTTTCAATGATGTTCAGCTAATTCTCTACTTGTGTCTGTCTTGCACTCGTCTTCTTCTCTCATCCAGAACACACACTGTTTATACAGACGGCACTTCTCTCCACCACAATGTGACACTGGCGCAGCAGGCAGGCGTGTGTGTGGTCTGCAGCTGATTTATATTGTTCCAAAAGAGAAAAAGAGAGCACAGACCTTTGATTAAGCTGCCTGAGTAAGTTGCTGCACTTGAGTATTGTTGTTGCAAAATCCATCAAACTGGCTTTTAGAGTCTGCTCTTTTGCTGCACGTCAATTAGAAATACAACACCGCACACACGAGCTTCGCTCTCAAGCAGTGAGTCAAATCCAACAGCATCACGTTCTCCATTAAGTCGCTACGAATCAAACACATTCAATGTCAAACAGCTGTTCAATCTAGAGGATAAGCTCATTAAAATCTTGTCGTGTCTCGGACAGCAGACACTGCCAATACACAACGACTGACATGTGATGACAAGCATGCACAGACAGCAGACAGGAGCAGCCGACACCCTATTGATCCAAGTTTTCAAGTTCATAACAGGCGTCAGCAAATGGGATGACTGGGGTGCTTGTGTTTTCTGTTGCAGATTGGATTCAAGTATATCCAGCATGTTTTTGACATGCATGTTGGTACGTCTTTGTCAAAGTGCACTGGAAATCGTGAAGAGCTTTGAAGATCTATACACTAAGAAGGTTATGAGCTCTGGCAAGGAAAACAGCACTATAGAAGCAAATGTGTGTGTTTAAGAGTGTGTGTAAGCTTGCCACTGTATGTTGGTCCTTATTTGTCTCTTACAATACGCCCTACAGTGTACAATATCACAGCTGTTAATGTGTTTCCTAAGTGCACCAGAGAGTTATGACATTATTAGATTCTGCGTAATGCTGGAAGACAAGGCGGCTGCATGAAGATAACAAGGCAGTGAGGAAGAAGATGATATGCATGTGTGTTTAAAAATTTGGTCTCAATGACACTTGCTGCCTGTGTGTGTTCAGTAAGTTTAAACTGAGGAGGAACACCCCTAAACTGCTCCGCTGATGCTGCTGCTGATGATGCAGCCCAGTCCAAAGGGGGGATGGGCTCTTACTTGCCAGTGGTAGCATACTGTACACAGCCTGATGTCACCAGTGAAGGGGGAGGGGAACCTCACGTGCACAACCTCCCCCGTCAGCCTGAACAACCATCCGCACAAGTGTACAGAGTCTATTCTCGTCTCCCACTCCCTGTGTGTGCTCTAGCATCTCTTCACACGGCAGCAGACGCAAACACACACACACACGGCACAGCTTCAAGCCCAGAGACATCATCCCAAGGTCTCCCAGACTCAATGTGTCACATGGCATCACATCCACATCCGCATCACTTCAAGGACCAGAGGGACAGCAGCAGAGGGAACAACGAGACTTCTGATACTAGATGAGCCTGGACCCAATGCCTAAAATACTCACATTCAACTAGACAGTTTTATTTTCTGTAGCATCACACAGAGCAGTGGCTTCACTGACCTATAACCCATGTATGTGTGTATATTTGTGTGACATCATCATTATCGCACACAAGTTTAGTGTACTTCACTAATTCATCACAATAAGTTTTTATTGTATCATGTAAACCTTGCATCTTTTATTTTGCATTATCTGCCAACTGACTCAGCAAGTCAGGCCACGATGGGCAGTGACCTCATTTTCTTTAAACATCAGGTAGATGGCAAAGCAAATGCACCGTCTACACACACACACACACACACACACACACACACACACACACACACACACACACACAATCACCCAGAAACCTACTAAAACAAAGGTTTCATCAGAAAACTCTGCTAGGACAGGAACCAAAACTATGTGTAAAACATCCAATCAGTCAAATTTAGTTCCATTCAAACAAACAGGTAGCCTACTTTCTGCTAAACTAAAAGGATGAATAAGTCATTGGGTTCTTGCTGCTGTGTGGACAACTGTTTGCTGACAGGTGGAACATTTATCTAAAGCAACATTTTCATGCCTTAAAGAAGAGGCAATGAGAAGACAACAAAAACTAAACTAATGTAACGTGCTTTAAAGGATCATCATGCATGTTTTATAATGACAGCTTAATGTTGTCTTATACAGTACCAGACCCTCGTCGGCTTATAAGACACTATTATCTACGACATCAGTGACATATGACATGTCTATTGTCAGACAGAGCACTATCTGATATGAGGGAATGCCCTACCAGTAAGCAATAAGCAGGGCTTCTTTGTGGAAACATTGGATGGTTACATGATTCTGGCATCAGTGTAATACAGTTTGATCTGTCAGATATTCAATTCAGTGTATGAACCAAAAACAAACATTCCTGTTATTATTATTTATACCTATTAAGAGTTTCTCAATTGGTTTTCTTAAACTTCTATAATATCATGATATATCACAATAAAATCAGATTTACCATGTGAGACAATTTTATCTGTATCACCAACAATAAGTAAATTTCTTTTGTTCTCAAAACTAACATCACTCACGCCATAGGATGTAGCACCATGAAACAAAACATTAAAACCTAAAATCCAAACGCAATAGTGGCTGCAAAGACAGTCCTGAAAGGTCTAACACATCCAAACACACGATCAATTCCAGGGCAGTCTATTTTGGGGTGCAATTTTAAACTTGCTCGCTCATGACTTATCTTAACATGTATTGTAATTCAGTTTTATTTTCAAAAGACATTATAAACAAGGAGAAGGTCAGTGGCAAAAGTCATGTTGTTGTTAAGCCATCTATACTGTGTCAAACTGTATAGTCTCATTTATTATGTATACACACTTTCATCATCCTTCACACACAAGTTCAGACTCTACACACACACACACACACACACACACACGCACACACATCAAAATATCCTTTTCCCAGAATTCCAAGTAGCGAGCTCCATGGCAACCATTCACTGACCCCAATCACCATGGCAACAGGCATCAGCATTACTCACGCTTTTTTTTAACTGACCAATTTCCTCTTTGTCTGATGTGTCTGTCCCTGTACATCTCCCTCTCAGTCTTACCAGCTCCCTCCCTTTCCAAAACATTTCCACTGATGTGTGTTCTTACAACGCTTCGTTTCCTGAGAGACAACCTGCTGATACAATCTTTGCCACGGGTGGTGAGCTAGTGGCTGAGCTTAAGGTGTATCTGCAGAGCCTGCTGCCACAAGCAAAGTGCCCTTGAGTAGCATACCGAGCCCTAAAAGCTACAAAGGCTCTGTGGTCCCGCCTGCTCATTGCTAAATAATCAGTCACAACATGACATTCTTTGTCTTATTCAAGTCAAAGAAACTGATGTTTTTACTTGTATTGAATACTGCTGGTTGACAGAGTGACATTTCTTTGATACAAACAATGTGAACTGCATTATTTTCCCAGATGTTTCTACATACCATCACTTGTTGCAAGAAAAAAGGGTGGAAACATTAAATCAGCTCACTGTCTATGCTGATCTTCAGCTAAAATCATAGATCACATTTCCTGTTCATCATTTTGCTTTGTCTGACAGTGAGCAGACGCAGATGGTTTTGGGGAGGGGACAGTAACTGCAGCCCATGCTTCATTTCTTTGTTCTTACATGCTAAACCACATTCACCCAGCCCATATATTGAAAACCAATTTTGGTCACCTCAAACAAACATTTTCAGCTTTCACGCTGATTTCCTGCATAAAGGAATAGTTCTCTCTAACAGGATTGGAGCCCTTGTCATTTTCTGAAATTGGCTCATTGCTTTGCTAAATTTTTGTCTATGATAGCCCTCTCCCCCAAAAATTCATCTATTCCCCCTTCTCTCTTTGTTTCATTTGAGCACGCCTCCGTC